AGAGCATGCAGAGAGCAGGTGACTCACCTGTTTGACAGCATCCAGCAGCCTCTCCAGAAGGTGCTGCCTCTTCGTATCATTCTGCTGAGTGCCTGCTAAGACAAACCAACAAAAGAATAAACCAATACTCAGTTTGATGATACGTAAGAAGTAATAAAAACTCAAGGTTCCAGTTGTAGATCATTTTGGCATCAATTATTCATGTCCATGAGGTGAAGAAGATGGACTACATGAGACAGTAATGGGTAATAATGGATGCTGACACCACTTGAACCAAACCAAACTGAAACAAGTGATGGAATAATAAAGAATATTGACTCAGTAAGTTTAAGGTACTCAATAAATATGTGCTAAAACTATATCCCTCCAAGTTGTAGGGCAAACATGCAGCTTGTTACAGTATTATAAATTGTAGATGATGAAATCGTCAAATTTTTGGCAGTTTTACACTGATTCTGAAATTGTCTGATTATTTGCTCACAGTCTCTCACAGAGTGGTGAAAATCAGCCTTTCTCCTCTTTCATTCCCAGTCCAGTAACTAGCCTGTTGCAAATTAGCCTTGTCTGGAGATGTTACTCCAGGGTGTTGTTTTTGAGTATTACACATAGACTGTATAAAGAACGGACAGAGTCTACATCCTCGCTGGGTGAAGCCACTCCGAGAACAGCACCTTCTGGTGACTGGCTGCAGTATAGGTCATAAATCCCGTCTCTGCCAGCAAAGCTTATGGAGCTGTGGACAAACTTTAGAAATTTATTACACAGAACATTAATTTTTCTCCCCCTTGCTTGTGATGTTGACATGTAGTTACAGTAAGACTGGTTTGTGCTCAAGTCCTCTTTTTTCTGTGAAGCTCAGTTTTTAACTTATAAAGGGGTTCGTGTTTTCTATGATTGACACCTGATACAGCCTATGGGCGTTCAGGGATTGTGCAGCCCCCCCAGGGGATATGCTGTTTGAGCCAAGCGTCATCACAGCGACTCTCGGCGACTGCGCGCCCGAATGCGTGCATCGCTACTACGCAGTGCTGGTTTCAGGAAATGAAGAAAAACCCCGGAAATACCGAGAGCTATTTGGCCTCAAATCCGTATACAGGTGGGAGGCGGAACCAAGTTGTCCATAGTATATACAGTCTATGGTATTACATAACTTCTTCAGCGTTTTGTTGAATTGTCCCTGTCCCAACTTTTCTGAGACCTGTTGCCAGCATGAACTTAACACCAAGCCAACATTTTACATACAAAGTTTTTCAGTCCTAAAATTTGATAAGTTGTCTCAGCATTGCTTTCAATTAAATATGAGGTAAAAATGCAAACCTTTAAAATCTGTTTTTGTATTCCTCTGGTCTTGCTACAAGTTTCCTTTATCTTCCACAAATGGTGCCACTCTGCAGCCCTCTTTCCTCCACATGTACATGTGATTCAGGCGAGCACACCTGTGTGGCCCCAATGTTACCTTCACCCTCCTGAAAACTGCAATTCATGTGAACTTGCTATTTAAAACAAAGCTATAGGGTCTTCTCCGGGCTGTTAGTGAACCTTTATAGCATCTGATCATGCATAATACTCACATAAAAACAGTTAATTCACTCAAAGAACTGCTGAAAAGGCATTTGATATGTGCTTGACTGTTATTGTTTTAACCCAGGGAGGACAAGTGCACTTACACTCTAATTCACTGAGGGTTGAAGACCAGAAAAGCCACTTAGTGGATGTAAACACTGTCAAAGTAGCTGCACAGTCCTTCCAAGAGTCAGCACAAATGTCTAAGTCACGGACCAAGCTCAGGGGCTGCAAACAAGTCCACTCTTGTGTGCATGATTTGACATTTAGGGCTTTTATGGTTGAGTGACAGACAAGTGAAAGCCAGGGAAAAAGCAGAACTTACCGTTCATTCTGACAGCCAAACTCCGTTAGCAGTGGCATCCAAGCTTAACACTTCACCACAGATATGACTGATCCCTCTGTGGAGCTTGCAGGACCAGAGGCTAGCTGTGGACCGGGGCCATGCTGCCTCCGTGGCCGAGCTGGACCCACCCAAACGCGGCGTGAGGACTGATGCTCACACGGTGAACAGAGAGGCCTGCCGGGGAGTCGCTGGGGTTAAGTCTGACACAGACAGACAGGCAAGTCATGTACGAAGCCGGTGAAAGAGTAAAACTACACTAAAAACAAGTCCGTGTGTAATTTCAGAGCCACGGAGTCACGCGTCCAAAACGTGCTGGAGTGTTGAGGACAGAAATGAAGAGTTTGCAGTTTAGAGCCTGTAGCGCTGCGAGGAAGGGAAGCGGAGTACTGAGAGAGCCGTGTTAGGGTCACATGACAAAACACACAGCTGTCATATGACAGGAAAGGCCTGATGGGACTTGTAGTTTTTGTGAAAGGGATGTCGAAATATGCTGTTGGTGGGCTTATCAACTCATTAAGTTTTTGGCTATTATCAAAGGGACGAAAACGCCTAACTTCTTTTGAGTCAGTCAAGAGTGGCTATCAGAAAATGCTACTGTGGTGGCTGCTGGTTTGTGAGATGCTTTTATTTCAGTGGTTATGGGGTCAAGCTGTCTGCAAGTGGCCATTAAGACTCAAATCTTTTCATTTAGAGTCAGCTGAGAGGGGTGGGGTTATTCAAGTTCCGACTTGAATTTTAGCTCTAATGTCAGTGTTTTTCCCTGTCTATACTTAATCAACTTGAGACATGAGACTACAGACAATTAAATTTTTTACACACACACACACACACACCAAACCAACACATAACTGGATTTAATAATCATCTATGGTATCTTGGTGTCAGTCAAAGAAATCAGTGTCACTCCTCTCTCTGACCATTTTCCCATACTCTTCAATCTAACAGTGCCATCTCCTGCAAGGAATATATATATATATATATATATATACATATGTGTGTGTGTGTGTGTGTGTGTGTGTGTGTGTGTGTGTGTGTGTGTGTGTGTGTGTGTGTGTGTGTGTGTGGGAGGGACGGGGGAGGCGATCTCTGATTGCAGGGTGTGTGAAGACCATAGACTGTAGATAGAATGGATGATGGTCTGCCTCCTTGCTGGGTGAAGCCACTCCGAGAACAGCACCCTCTGTTGATGGACTGCAGTATAGGTCATAAATCCTGCCTCCTCCAGCAATCCCTATGGAGCTGTGGACAAACTTTAGAAATGTATTACACAGAATATAAATTGTTCTCCCCCCTGGTTGTGATGTTGACATATAGTTATTGTAAGACTGGTTTGTGCTCAAGTCCTCTCTTTCCTGTGGAGCTCCATTTTTAAAAGTTATTAGGGGGTTCAAGTTTTCTTTGATTGACACCAGATACAGCCTATGAGCGTTCAGGGATTGTGCAGCCCCCCCAGGGGATATGCTGTTTGAGCCGAGTGTCATCACAGCGACTCTCGGCGACTCTCCCACTGAATGCGCACAACGCTACTGCGCAGCGCTGCTTTCAGAAAATGAAGAAAAAACATGGAAATACCGAGAGCTTTTTGGCTTCAAATCCGTATACAGGCGGGAGGCGGAACCAAGTTGTCCATAGTATATACAGTCTATGGTGAAGACACACACTGCACGGAGATGAAGGGATAAGAGATGAGTGGAGGCTGATAAATAATTTGTGCTTTTTTGGCAGATTTTTCACTATTAAAAATTTGATGAACGAATCTTTTGAATGAATCTTTTAAGTGAACTGATTCTAGTGATTCAGTACATCTAAAAAAAATGTCGTGCCCATCACTAATAGAGTTTTTAGACAAGTTATTTATGAAATTCAATCTTATTTTCCAAAAATTGTGCTGTGTTAGTGATGGGACGTTCGAAGCCGAGGCTTCAAGGCTTGCATCGGTTTGCTGAAAACCACGTGACCAGTAACAAACGAGGCCTCGCATTACACAGATAACTTGACTGATTCATTTTTGAGTGTCGTTTTTCAAAATAAAAGCACGACAAAAACGCGGCGCTTTGCGGGTTGTATTGAGTGGTAGGTTGGTTCACGCGTTCGTAGCAGAGTTTGGATTATAATCAACAGTGGCTTTCGTTGAAAGCATAGGGTTAGTTAGTTGCAGTAGAAAAAATTGAGAAATGGTAGAATTAGTGGTAGTAGCAGTGGCAGTCGTAGTTAGTAGTGGAATTAGTAGGAGTAGTTTAATGGGGCAAGAAAGAAAGAAAAAAAAGATAATAACCCCCCTCCCAACATATTGTACTGTCACCCAAGCACTGCACTTCCAATTCACAACACCACCTTATGTGTTTAACAGATAATCAACATTGATAGCCAATAAAAGCACAAACCAAAATAACAGTTAAAGGGATTGAAAATATTTATTAGGAATAAAAAGGGGGAGCAAAGTTATATTAAACACTATAGACCTAATTGTTATTGTAGAGAGATTAAACAGTATTATATATTGTGGTAATATCCATCCATTCATTTTCCGCACTGTGAAAACATTTGACATCTATCCGAATGACTTAAATGTCATAGTTTAACTCTGGCAACAGATGGGGCTAGTGAGCATTGAATGAAGCCTCGAGTAGTGAACCTTAGGGCAAAGCAATGGGCTGGAAAGCCTCAATGCTTCAGAAAGCTGCATTTGGCCATCTCTAATGTGTGTGTGTGTGTGTGTGTGTGTGTGTGTGTGTGTGTGTGTGTGTGTGTGTGTGTGTGTGTGTGTGTGTGTGGGGGGGGGGGGGGGGGGGTTCTTGCCTTGAAAAGTCACCAAAAACCCATGAGAAAGAAAGAAGGATTTACAAACCTGTAGCTCTGGCACTTGTAATACATAAAATGTGCCACAAGATGGAGGCAGAGACTACTAAGAGGGCTTTTGCTGACTTCTATTCCGTCTGTTTTTCTTTCTGTTTCTTCGAGTTTAAACCTCACATATTGACGAGAGTGTTGCAGTAGATTCATTTCCAAGCATAGTCCCTGCTGCACAGTTTTCATGTCACAAAGCTGTGTAGTCCATGTCCCACAATTGTCACAAAGGTGTTGTGGAGGAAGTGGGTCTGCGCGTCCCACGTAGAGGAGGGTTTTCCGGTTAAAGTTTCCTTTGTGATTCGGAAGTGGTGGTGTGATGCCAAAGCCGTTTATCAGTACTGACACATCAAACAAGTGGCGACCATGAAAAGTAAGCATGTAAATGAAGTAGCTCGTTTATCTATGATTGATAAGAAGTGTTTACAGCTAGCTCGCTGTCCGGCTTATGGCTGGCACATATAGCATGCTAACATTGGCTAGCTAAAGGAGTGACTGTCTGGAGTATATGAGGTGGTCAAACCGATTTATAAACGTCACCTGTGCCAGAAATAAGTACCTCATCTTGTATATGTTAACCTCATATATTTACTGTGTCGTTTGTGTTTGGTTTTACGAAGGGTTTTTATTTAATTTGCGTGTAGATTGTTCAGGTGAACTCCCACCCAGACAAGCTAACAATAGCTTAGCGTGTCTGTGTTTTGGACAGTGACAGCTGCAGGCTGCTCCCTCATGACATCCGTGGAAAGACCTCCTGTAGTATGCACTTTGTCCAGACTTAATTTTTATTCTTTTTTACATGTTTTATACCACCATGGCCAACCTGCACGTGCCCAGGTTAGACCTAGACATGTACTGCAGTTAAGCATCATAATCCGCAGGGCTGTGGACCAGAATGGACATCAGGGTTTGGCTGGGGAAAGATCGCTGATCCATTATTGTATATTGAGCTTTTTTTTTCTTACTCTCCTCCAGCTGAAACCTTAAAAGCTCCGTCCTGCTGAAATGGGAAAACGCCCCTCCAACATCTAGAAAATCAGGTGAGTACCCAGCTCTGTTTGGCAGCCCAGGTGGATCACACGTCCTAAAAGCCAGCATGCTGGAGCTTGAGATCCTCAGAGGAGGTAGTTTGTTTAGTGTACTTTTCTTCTGGACGTGTATGTGTGAACACCGCTGTGATTGTGATGAATATCTGTAAGGCTAGTGTGGGCGTGTCGAGAGGAATGCAGGTGTCTTACTGTATATTCATTACATTGCACCAAAGGAGAACACACTGTGTTTTGCAACAGCAGCTTTCTGTTGGGAAAGTCAGGATGAAGCAATGGATGCTGCAGTGATTATCTCCTCAAGTCCTTCTTCTTTTTACAGGCCATGTTGTTGTTGTAATGCTTGAAATCCAGGTCACTGTAGAGACCCAGGGCCCTGATAGGCTGGATAACTGGAGCATTTCTGAATACATGGCTGAAATATAATACTTTTTAATTGTTGTTGGTAGATATTTATCTGGAAGTGTTGCACGAAGATAGTGGTCACATGGTGTTTTGAAGTCACAATCACAGTAGCTCGTGACAATTTTAAGCATACAGTGTTCTGCGTTAGTGTATGCCGCATGCAATGCTTAGTTCATAGAACTGGCATATGGGATAAAAACGAGGACATTTTCATTAATTTATAAAAAACAACCAGGACGGCCAGGACAGGATGTAAAAACAGGACATGTCCTGAGTAAACGGGACGTTTGGTCACCCTAATATACAGTATGTATGGCATCCTTATTAGCACAGGGTATTCAAGATACTATATTAACAATAAGTGTGCATTTAAACGGCAGTGTACTTAAACAAATATAATACACAAACATGAAATGGCATCATGGAAACAAAAGGCTGCATGGGCATGCCTGGTATTGATCCTAAGGTAACCTGAGGAATATTTTGCCAAATTTTAACAATCAAACAAATAAGTGGGTGAATGGACAGGTCCATTCAGAATCTTTGCCTGTTTGCTTCTGCTGCTGAGATAAAGCTTTTCTTCTAAGGTAAGTTAGATTAGCAGATAGACTGACCCTGTCAAGTCAGCGTAGTAACAAAGACTTGAGAGGCGAGGATAGGCCTGGGCGATGTGGCAAAAAAAATGATCATGATATATTTTGTCATATTGTCCGATCTTGATTATTATCACGATTTTTTTAAAGCATCTGTACTAAAAACTAAAGAAACTAGAGATTAGTTCAACATTTTATCAACATACAAAGCAAACTGAATAAGAGACACTTTAACTCAACAGTACAACAAATGTAGATAAATACTAAATAATGCAGTGAATTAGTTTACAGTCCTGAGTGTTTTTGCAGGTATGCAAGATCCAAAATCTCCCCCTCAGAGATAATGAAGATGCCTTAAAATGTAAACATAGATGATAGTCATGGCTGACTTCTGTTTTGCTGCCCTCCGCTCCATGTTCGGTCATTCGGTTTACTTCTCCTGTTTACTTCCCGGACAACTTACAGAAGTGAGCAGGAAAAGCTTGACACACTCCCGCTATGTTTGATCGAGTAAATATGCTCACAGCTGATCACTGTGATCAAACTGAAATTTATCATAATCATATAATTGCCCAATCCTTATGTGAGGGTATCATATGTGGATTTATGTGCACACAGTGGTCAAAATTTCCAGGATTTAAGTTATATATATTTTGATTTTTATGTTACCATCATGTCCTTAAAAACTTCCATCATCCTGTTAAATCTTGACTCCTTTTAAATCATACTTGTACCAGTTGTGTTCTGTTTTAGCCAGATAAACACACCTGAATAGCTGCTTGTGTTTGAGAGATATTAAATAGGTGTGGGACTATCAGGGCAACAATCTTACTTTACAGAAATTCCAGGATATCTGATAAATATCTTGACAGTCATACTAGGAGTGGGAATTAAAGGCTAACTCAGTATGTGATACTATACCTTTAACATTAGAGGTACACCAACAGGGAAAATCAGAATTTTGTTGTGCGGCACATTGTTTGCCAATGGGCTGATGTCTGTCAGCAGGGCAAATCAAGGTCATCAGTGCACCCTGCACTGACATGTAATTCCCTACAATGACGATAACATCACACTACAGCATTTCTATGATAATGAATGAATTGCAGGAGATTCACAAAGAAATACATTACTATATCTTAATGAATAACTGAGAACGGTTTGGGAAAAAAAAACAATTATAGCATCAGTATAGCAGTATAGCAATGTTTAGGACTATGTTCCACCTTTAAACTCAACATGTATAACTGAGAACTTAGTATGCAGGGGGGTTAGCCTGATACAGATCAGCATCTTTGTGATTCTTGTGCTGATATGTGACAGCTTCTAAAATGTACAAGAAACTCTGGTTTCAACCTGTTTGTACATGTTGGATTGGAGTCAACAATAGGAAAAGTAGCCAGCTGTAATCTAAGAAACTTGTTGACCGTTTGACTAACTTTTGGATAACTGTGATTCCTACAAAACACAGAGTTAAAATTTTTGCACTAGTTTAAAATGTCGTTAATGATACTGTGCCCAGCAGCTAAGAAAGGAAGAACAGGAAGTAAGCCCATTCACCTATACCAGTGGTTCTCAAGTCCAGTCACACACCTGATTCAAATGATCAGCTCGTTATCAAAGCACTGTAATGGCTAAATAACGAGCTAATCATTTGAATCAGGTGTGTTGGAGCAGGGAAACATCCAAAACATGCAGGACAGTGGACCTCGAGGACTGGACTTGAGAACCACTGACCTATACCAATATTTACACAACTTCATTCGGTTTTTATAAAGACATTTTTTTTTTCAAGCACTTCAAAATCCCTCAAATATTTCCAATTGACCTGATAAAACCTGCAGACATCCAGCCAGCAACATCAAGAGTACGTTTAGTGGGTCATGTGGTCAGTGTGCTGCTATTCACTGTGTGTGTGTGTGTCGGCATTTGATTGTGAGAGAGAAGAATGACATCTCAGACAACACTGCCTCATTGTTTTCAGGCCCCGCTGTGCTGCAAACACAGAAACCCCATCAGAACCCCTCGGCTAGAAAACACACATTCGCAGAGAGTGCAGGGGGAGGGATCAACAACACACGACACGGCAGCAACCATTAGTGGATTTGTTGTATCTATAGGAGTGTTTCATAAAGCGGATAACCTGTTTTACCGGAGTGTTTCCAGTAAATCAGGAAAATCAGTCCTGTGAAGAAAGTGCTGGATAAATTTCAGCTTGGTGACAACGAAAACACATCCTTCAGAGTAGTCTTATCTCAGGCACGTTTGTTTTGGGGCTTAACTCCACTCAGTGGAACCAGTTTGTGCTACAAATGTACCTGCTAGTCTGAAACACAATGTTCCCGGTAGTACTGCCGCTCTGTGGACGTAAATCTGTCTCAAACTACAACACATGCTGTATGTTTTACACAGTTGGTGTCAATTTAATGTTATGTAAACAGGGCGGAGTGTTAATTCAGTACTGAAACATTTCTTCATCTGTTGTTGTCTAACAGTTTCCTGAAGCTCTAAATTGATAACGGGCCCTTTTATACAGAGGAAGTTTTGACACACACCAAAAGCTGTGATGAGGCAATGTCGCTATTGCCTCAAGTTCTGTGGTTGTGTATGCTTCTTCTCGGTCTCAGCTCACTGCCTCTGTCATTGACAATCTGTGATGTAACATACAGTATATAAACACTAACTTGTGTCAAAAGTTTATGACATGTACATCATTTAACATGTACTTGTGCACGTTTGTTGTATTTCAAACCTTACAAAAAAAAAAATACACCATGAATTTTGGACACCATGAATTCCCAACTGAACCAGAGATCACAGAATTTGCAGGCAAATTATATCAAATAGGTTTGGCTGGTGTTGCTAACATTATTAAGAGCGGACAGCCCAGGCTAGTGGCATGTGGCTATACTTAAGGTTAGACAAAATTGACAAAGAAATCCTGTACCCACCAGCAGAGGTTTTTTTCAAATAGATCTGTGTCCACTAGGGCTGGGCAATATGGCCTCAAATCAATATCACAACATATTGAGCAGTTCACCTCAATAACGATTAATGGACGATAACTACTACGCCACAAGCTTCTAACCCCCTCCATCATTAACTTCGTCTACTTCAGCCGCCACTCCAGCCGCTTAAACTGTTGAGCCGTCCTCCAACATTTTCTATGTCTGACTATACAACAAAATACTACCCCCAAATGTGGGCCATTGATTGCAAACAAGATTTTTTAAGTCGCATACAATTTTTTTTTTTTTTTAAATTTAAAGTCAGGATGAAAAATTGAGTACACCCCAATCAAAGTTCTGGTAGCACAGCTAAATTTTAGTCACCATATCACCCTTATTTTCATTTTATGGTAAATGAAATATTATGTTAAACTCAGATTTGTCAAAACTTTGGAAATTACGCTTTTGCTCATGTAGATATTAAGAAATACATTACTTTTAATAGGGGGTGTACTGACTTATGCTTGGCACTCTATGTGTGGACAGGGCCTTAGCTATAACATTGCTCTGACATTCTGTGTTACCAATAATACAAGTATCAAAAACCAGTTAAAGAATTAGTAATCCTGGTACTGATTTGTAAGAGTTAATCTGTCAGATCACTAAACTTACACTTCTTTTGGTTTGGTTTACACATATACAGTAGGGTGACCATATTTTGATGACTGAAAACCAGGACAAAAACCAGGAATTGGCAATGAGAAATTCTATATCTTTAATTTTCTTCTTCCTAGTGGCCCAATAAAAAACAATAAAAACGAGGACATTTTCATTACTTTATAAAAAACAACCAGGACGGCCAGGACAGGACGTAAAAACAGGACATGTCCTGGGTAAATGGAACGTTTGGTCACCCTAATATACAGTATGTATGGCATCTTTATAAGCACAGGGTATTCAAGATACTATATTAACAGTAAGTGTGCATTTAAACAGCAATGTGCTTAAACAAATATAATACACAAACATGAAATGGCATCATGGAAACAAAAGGCATGCCTGGTATTGATCCTAAGTTAACCTGAATGGTCTGGATGCTTCTTATGGTACAAGTCAGACAGAGATATATTTATGTTGAAGGCCAGTTAAAGGAATGGGCATTTGAAGTCAGTGATTTAAGGACAAGGGTAGTTCGCTCCATCTTAGTGGTTTTGGTGAGGACTTGTGTAGCTGAGCTCTTGGGGATCTTAAATTGTATGACTTTCCACTAACTCTTGTAAGTACTCATGCCAGCAGTCTGCTCAAATGAACATCAAGTCTTTGTTTTTATGAAGACAGAAACTATTTAATTTTGCCATATTGCTAAAGTAGAGACGGCAGATTAGTTATTGTCTTGATGTGGCTGTTAAAGTTTACTTAAGAGCCTTTTATCACATGTGCGCACATTTAGAGGGTTCATTAGGTTGTCTCTGACTTCATCGATGGCAGTGGTTTTTAAAAATTTCCACTGCCTGTTTCTGTTATGTGCTATGGTGGTCAAGTCTGCCGCTGTGGTTCTGAGTCTTTTGAGCTTAAGTTAGACTGCAGCGCTCATGACCGTCCTCATGGGGAAAATACCGTATTCGATATAACACAGAACACACACACAGACACCTTTTATTACTTCCTTTATGATTAACCTCCAGCTGTGAGGATAATGAGTGCGGTGAGTTCAGTGTATGGAAATCGCTCAGAGCTTGTTAAGAAGTAAAACAGAGAGAAAAAAAATCCATAAACCGAGTTAAGCTGCTCTAAAGTAGCAGCCACAGCAACAGTTGTAAAAGCTCAAACATGCAAATTCTTCCCTGATGGCTGATTTAATCCCAGAGCCTACAGCCCTGCATTCTTCTTCTCTCCTCAGTTATTTAGTCTGTGTTTGAGAGAGAGTAAGAGAGACAGAGAGGCAGACACAGGGGATCACTCTGTTTTCTTGGATCAAACTTCTGACTTGTTACGGCCTGTGAAAGTACCCTGGGTACTCTTGCTTTATTTGTTATTGCATACCTTTGTTTCATATCCAACTCTGATTGGCTAATGCAGACGGCCTGTTATATAAAAAATAAAAATCCAAATGCATGACACTCACTGATGAACTTACGAAACAAAGCTTTGAAATGAAAAAGGAGGGGCTGGGGCAGCAGAGAGTAGACTAATGACTGTGTGTAGAAATAGACGATGAAAATGAAGCCAAAATAAGCTGGCCATGGACCCTGGTTTATTGTGCTGGTTGTGTTACCTCCCCCTGTTCCTCCTCTGCTCGGGAATTCCTGTAATAGTGCTGCAGGAGATTCATTTGTCCACAGAGCTGTCAATCATGATATCCCAACCCTTTCTGTGAGCATCACGCAAATAGCTAAAATAAATCTCAAACATAAATCATCAGAAAAAGAAAAAGAGGTGACCAGAATAAACATTTTAAAATACTTTAAAGTGTATTTTAATGTTAGAGTGGCACATCTGTTGACATTGAGAGACTGCAGACACTATTAGGAGCTACCACGCTTTTGGTCTCACCTTTGGAGAGCTGCCATGTTTTACATCTTTTTATACACGAAATCTATATTTACTGTGTCAAATGTGACTCTGATTTTCTTTTCTGCAGGTGTGTTGCTTTAAAATGGTCAATAAATTTTTAAAAAGCAACGGGTGTTTACGACATGTTATTGAATGTGTCGTTATGTTGTCCCAAAGTTTTCCTAAAAATCAAACATCAGTCTTTAGGCTAGCTTATTTTCTTTAATCTAGATCATAAGCTGCTTACCTTTCAGTTCATAAAATACCAACTCTGCATTGGTACTCACGTCTTACACACTTTAAACTCAGCTCTTCTTGAACGCAGCACAGCTGCTCTGAAACATATTTCATATTTTCAAGTGTATTTTAAGCTGCTGCCTTTTGATGAGTCATTAAACTATGAACGTACTATTTTTGCAACAGGTCTCTCTGTCACTATGGCAACGCTACACCCACAGAAAGGGCAGGAGCCAAATCCTGGCTGCATGGAAGCAGCCGGGACGCCAGGCTTGGCCCCGAGCCCTCAGAGCGAGGCAGTGACCAACGAGCTTCAGGAGCTGTCGCTGCAGCCTGCACCCAACGAGCTGCCTCTGCAGGAGAGAAAGAACGGTGAGGCTGTGTTACATGCACCTTTTTTCTGCTTTTAATCACTCTCAACCCACATTGGGGGATTTAATTGGATCAGTTGTGCATCCAGGCTCATGCTTTGCTGCATTGAAGTCGAACATTCTTTGGCAAGCACCACGATGAATTTGTAGGGAAGAGGGGTCAAAATTGGTGTAGCGACATACTGTACACTGTCCTGCCTTTGAAACAACTCCTTTGCATTTCTCAGAGCGAATTTTGACTGAACACTGCCCTGGGCTGACAAATACAGAAACACTATTTACATATGAAAATAGCCGAGTCGAGTACAGCGCTGTTAAAGTCCACAGCCTTCCCTCTTTTGTAAAACGTCAGAAAATATAGTGTTGCTTCTCATCATCTGGGAAGAGAAGCAGGAGAAACACAGCCTGGTTAATTTGCGTGACAGTTTTCTCAAAGTTGGTGCAGAAGTTTAAAATTGTTTTGTACCCTTGACTCAATCGGAGGCTCTTTTTCGCATTTTTGTACCTTACAAAGTATTACCAGCTTGAACTAAAATTCACCCTGTGTGCCGACATCTTCATCCTTTTCTTTGTAGACATGTTTGAAAGACAGGAGACATTCGTATCATGTGTGTCTTTAATATGATTTCTGTATTTGTCCACCTGTGAATAAGAAGGGGGGCGCCTTTGAGACTGTGATGGAGGGCGGAGCAAAGAGACACACAGTCAGCAGAAAGAGTCACAGCATCAGCAACAACAAACGAACCAAATTGTCCGCCTTCCTGCAAGTTTGTTTGAAGATGTGGACGTGCTATAAATTCTTTAGATTGGAATTACTGTGAAAAAATCTGGAAATAAGCTTTTATTTTCACTTTTGCAGCTTTGTTTATTTTACTGGTGCTCTGTCTTTAACCCCTGCTCCACTTTCACACACTCTTTTACTCATAGTAGTTTTGGACCAGAAAAATAAGTGTCCTTTTTTACTCCCGAGGTATTAACAGTAGATGGACTTACGTTGTATTTTTTAGCTTTAAAGACAGCTCTTTATTTTAGTCCTCAGGTTGAACTCTACTCGAGTGTGCACGAGTGTGTGTCTGTGTCTCCGCTCACATAAGGCTGTGTGCAGCGAAGTCTCCAGAAAGCAGGGGGTGAAGGAGCTGCTGTGCATAATTGGCTTGTTCCTGTGCGCTGACCTGCTGTTACACTAGATTAGACTGTGCTGCAAGTTCGCCGTGTGGACTTAGCGCGCTGTTGGCCTTTTTTTGTGTGTGGAGTCAGAGCTTAGAGTACTTGGCACCCTGTGCAGAGTTACACGCAGCAACTTCTATTGGTCCAAATCCTGCATGGTGGAAAGTTTGAATTTGTTGTTGTTGTTGTTGGGGCTTACACAGCTAAATGCAGAGTGAAACAGAGTTCATAAAGTCAACAGCGCCAAAAAGTACTTTGGGATCTTTAAAGTGCGTTAGGTAATGAGTCTTTTTAAACCTGATTCCAGTCTATGGAAGGAACAGCTTTAAATGGACATGTTATTGATCAACAAAATTTCTTTCTTTTTATTGAGTTTTCCTTTGATGTATTTCAATGAATGTTTTGGCACAAGTGAATCACTTTAACAACTAAAAAGAAAAGATAATATAATAATAAATAAATAGATTAGATGAATCAATCTAAATATCAAAGTAAAAACAATGCCAAGAACATACAGAATCAGATCATACCAAAGCAATGCAAATTGAATAAAATAAAATAACCATATAAGGGTAATACTGAGAGGAAAAAATAAAGTAATACCAACAAAAAAGAGTAAAAAATAATAAATTAAAAAAAAGGTGAAGAAAATATTAAAAAGGGGGGGGGGGGGGCAAAAAGACAAATACAAACTCACAGGAAAAGACAACAAAGACAGAAGGGGAAGGATTGGGGGTGGGGGATCTAGTTGTGCATTCAATCACTCATCCTCAGCTAGGGCATTGCTATAGTGATTCCGCTGAAATTCTATCACTTCAACTATAGCCCAATTATTCAACAAAAATTAACTCACTAAGGCGAGTAATAGAAAATGAGCAGGACAAAGTGTTCACAACATACATTATGTTAATGTACCTAGACTGTATGAACTATGGACAACTTGGTTCCGCCTTCTGCCAGTATACCAGTAAGCCAAAAAGCTCTCGATAATTCAGCGTTTTTTTCTCCACTTTCTAAAACCAACGTCGCGCAGTAGCATTGTATGCATTCGGCGGGAAAGTTGCCTAGAGTTGCTGTGATGATGCTCTGCTCAAACAGCGCATCCCCCGGGTGAGCTACACAATCTTCGTACGCCCATGGGCTGTATCAAGTGTTAATCAAAGAAAATATGAACCCCCTAATAACTTTTAAAAATGGAGCTGTACCTATACTGCAGCTCGTCACCAGAGGGTGCTGTTCTCGGAGTGGCTTCACTCAGCGAGGAGGCAGACGGCGTCCATTCTATAAACAGTCTATGGTTTTAACCATAGGTTGTATGAAACCATTGACAGAACAACAGCTGTCCTGGGTGAAGCAGGAGCATGGAGAGCTCTCCTCTGTGACTGGCTGCAGTGAAGGTCAGAAAAACATGCAGAACAAATACAGGTCGAGTTAATTTTCCCAAATATGTCTCTATAAAAAAACACTTGAACATAAATTGGCATAACAGCATGTAAGAAAACTACTACTATAGTTTAACCAATGTTCTGTTAACTTGACATACACTGCAGTAGTCAGTAGGGGGAGCTCTAAAAGTTTGGCTTCTCAGTCTGTGATCACTTGTGGCATCCATTTTTATATCAAGTCTCTGGTTGTAGGCTTTAGAATATGTCCTCCATGAAGTCAGACAGAGACTCTCTAATATGCAAAGAGATCCCAGCACTGGTCAGACGTAGGAGATAGTGTAACTGTTTCTTTCTCACACTCCTTGTTGTATCAAAAGAGTCAGCCACATGAGCCATTGTTCCCAGCTGGGCGTTGGCCAACCGTTTAGTTGTTTTGAGCCACCGTTGGTTGACCTGGTGTCGATTTGTCAGGAGAAGAAGGTGAGGCTAGGTTTAACGAGTAAATGATTGACCATCTTCACCAGAGAATAATGCACAATGGCACAATGAAAGTCAACGTTAGAAAAAGTAGGAGAGGCGGAGTACAGCTAGTGTTAACAACTGACTACAGCAAGGATCATAAAACAGCATTTGTTGCACTTGACCTGTATTTTACGAGATGTTTACATGATTTCAGAAATGTTTAAGTATGAACCTGTGACATGCAGTCACAGGACCATGTTTACCTCACAGGAACACACAAAGACACACACACACACTCTGTCTCTTACACAGCCTCGAGCCACCACTCCCAAATTGAAACAACCTCTGCTCTGGTTGGCCTCTTCCTCACACACAGGAATCAGCTAGCTGGAAGCCGACATGTTCCTGCAGGCACCGCTGCAGCTAATCTTACACGAAGATGCTTTCAGAGCATCACATGTGACTGCAGGAGTTTTATCTGTATGCAAACACTGAGGGAACAGAGTGGAATGCCCACATAGTAAAGCTTATCGCTGCTTTATCGCTCGCTGCACGTTATGCAATGTGTTTATGTGTGAGGTTCCTTCCTCTGTCATGGACAAGCGCTGGGAGATTTACTGTTAAACAGATGCATGCATGTGTGTGTGTATATATATAGAGAGAGAGGTGACATGTCCTCCTGAGACAGATGTTTACGCACTTGTGTGCATGAGTATTTCAGATTATATTCAAGGTTCAAAGTAAAGCACTTTCCGTCAAACTTCGAGCTTCATTGTTTTGTTTGAAAATAAACTCATTCTTGCTCTGATATTTGGACTGGAATAAATTAAAAGTTTGAGTTTGAGTGGGAGTGTGGGCTGCAGCAGCAACAGCAGCAGAAGAAGGAGGCAGGGGGGAGAGAGAAAAGAAGGAGGGTCATGTCTGTAATGGCTGTATTGCATAACTTGGCAGGGAGGGAACAGAAGGAAAGCGAGGGAAAAATGGAAAGCAAGAAAGGAAGGAGGGGGGTGTGACTTATATAGGAGGAGGCAAGGCTTGGCACCAGCTCGTTTCTATTCTTTTTCTCTAACTTGAACTTCCAAACTTGTTGAAGGAGCGCAGAGAAGTGACCGACAAAGTTTTTTTAAAGAAGTGCACAAGGAGCAAAGCAGGAGTAAACCAGAGGTGTTGCCACGGAGATCTGAAACCCTTGGGTGGACCTTGTTTGTTGCCCAAGGAGCAAGAAGGGGACGGACACACAGACCTGCTCACGCCCTCTCTGCCGGGGCGTGCACACACTCGCAGGCAGACAGTGGAGAGAAAGGGAATGTGAGGTGCTCTGCTACCTGTGGAGTACAAGCTGCCGGTGAGAGGAAAAAACGTGCTCCGAGTTGCTTTCATTTCTCCTGTCGCTGGACTTCTCCGCCGCCTGCTACCACTTTGGTGCTTCATTTTTCCCCCCCTACACTTTTCATTTTGCTTGCTCAAGGAAAATGAAATGCTAACTTTGCCGGGAGGGTGAAGCTTCACTACAGCATGGTGCAGAAGGATATGACTATCCTGTCAGGTAAAGTCGATATGAGCATGTCGTTTTTCTTGCTTTCATATCTTCTTTGTGACTTTAAGAGACAATGGCAACAAATGCAAATCGGCTATGAAGTTAAGCTCGAGGTGAGCGCTGCTGCCTGCAGGTGCGAACTATGTATGAGGTACTTAGGTGTTCTGTTGCTGCAGGCTCAAGTGTTGCTGCTACACAGGCTGTACTTGTTGTTTCTTTGAGAAGTGCTTCAAAAATGTTCCTTCAATTACCGTGAACTGAAAGTGATAGTTAAAGCTGAAAAAGTTAATGTTTCAAAGTTTTGTTGCTCTGGTGGATTTATATATGCTAAATAAAAGTTTAGTAGAAATAGGAATGCAAAACTTTCCATGTAACAAGAGTGGCAGTTCAGTTTGCAGTATGGAAATGTAGTTTCAGGGCCTCTTGGAACAAAAAGGGAACACTTGATGCCAGATATGCGGGGCGAATGAGGTCATAGAGTAAGTTGAAAGGTGTGGCTGGTGAATTTGCACCCCCCAACCCCCCCAACATTAATGCAGCTGTCAACTGTCCACTACAGCCCCCAGCCGACTCACTGCAGGCCAGGAGCCAGAATCCAGGCAGCTCTGGGTCTGTAGATTTGAGGGTAAGCTGAAGGAGGAGGAACAGAGAACAAAGCCCGGCTCCACTAAAAGAACTCAGCCGGAGTTTAAGGGGGGGAAGTAGGTTAGAGGCATCACAGACTCTGCTCCAGATTGAAGTGGAGATGACCCACTCATTACAGGCAGAACAGATTGTTCCAGATCATGACACAGACCACAGACACGGCGTGGAATGTAAATGTGGAAAGCAGTGACATAATCTTAATGTGTGCCAGTGCTGGAGGCCTCATTGAAATGTAATTGTGCCGCGATGACTCGAAAGTCTGCAGGTTTTAACTCCAACCAAACATAAACAACACTGGAATGGTTTCTCTTGATTTCTGAGAGGCAAGACTAAACAAAGAACCAGACTGAGTTAGTGTGTAGATACCAGACCTGTGCAGGACCACTGTGTTTGCTGACTGTTCTTATTCTTAATACAGTGAAAACAGGACTTGAAAAAAAAGGTTCAGGTGGAGTCTAAGCTTGCAAGTGAGGTGCTGCCAGACTGGAATACTATCAGTGAGTTTTAAGATTTGGCCTGACCTCACCACTCAGACATGTAAACATTTAAGATAAGGATCACGTCCCTCTTTGTCCCCACCCATGCATAATGTCAATAGACCCTCTGGTTTCAGCGCTGAGTTTGCTAGATGGTTTGCCAACAAAAATTGAAGACAGTAATACGTCCTTGACCCCTACTGACGGATAAATCGCTGCCGGGCGGTGTTTTTAGACATATTAACTGGATTTGTAGCGTGGCTGAGGCGAGCTCAGCCCAACAGTGATACAGGGAGCCTGATGGTGCTGTTATGTAACTGATTGGGAAGGCTGCCAGCAGCAGAGGCCCCGCAGCTCTCTGTCAGCCTTAGAGGAGAGGAGAAGAATGAGATGGAGAGAGCGATAGATGGCGAGAAAGAGAGGAAGAGAACGTGCTGTGAGAAGAGAAGAGACTAAAGACATGTGAAATTAAAGGAGCTAAGTGAAGAATTGAAAAATAAGAGAGCGGTGAGTCGTGTTTGACTACATGTTAGGCAGGAAGGAAAACGGGGGGGGCTGTGTTTCATTGTAATCCAAACACACAGCTGCAGCAAACACAATCCAGCTGGGTGTCTCCTCACCTCTATGCCAATGAGTCTGCCTCGTATTAGGTAATCTCTAGGAAATCAAAGCTTTAAAGATGTATGTACAGTAAGACAGAATAAATCAACTACAGATACGACGATAAACGGCATTGAATTATTCAAGACTTTTTAGTTAATGATGACGTATTGTTATCTACCAAAGCTTACAGACCTGTCTAAGCTTATTTGTGAGTTTGATGAAATATGGACACGGTGGGTAGTGCATCTTAAAGTGCTGCGTAAATCTCAGCTTTGCAGTAACATTGCGTAACAGGCAGAATCTAAACAACAGGAGACCAGATGTCTGAGGGGTTTTTTTTCCGCTGAATGTAAGTAAACAGCTCTCAGTCTAATAAACAGGCTGAAACATTTTTATGCAACACAGGCAAGTTTTCAGAGAGGGCTTAAATCTTAGAAGTGTCCAGCTCACCACGCACACACCCACAGACTTTGCATGACTCACCAGTCCACACAAACACTCACACTTCACGCACGCACACTTCACAACTCCTGTCACTGTCAGAACCTGGACATGCACTTACAGGCTTTGGTAGCCTTCCATTTGCACATTGTGTCCTGACAGAACGGTATTTCGACAAGCGCCAACACCACTCGCATCTTTGATTTGCGATCCGGTGAATTCCTGTTAGATAATGAGGAGAGAACGAGCGCAGCCACAGAGCCTTGCACACATCTGTAGCCTAAAGCTACACAAAAGCACTTTATCAGCTTCGTAGGTCTCTGCTCGTAGCAACAGGAACGCTGTGCATGAACACCCACAGGTACAAGCCCACTCATGTAGCTCAGTGATCTTTAAAGACACACACACACACACGGTTAGACAGGCATATACACTATCTTATGGCATACATCACCTCAGGGCACATAAGCTTAGAACAGTCTTAAACTTGCACAAAGGAGCTGCTGAACAAAAAAAAAATGCATGCATTACCCTTAACCTGTAGTCATTTATATATATATATATATATATATATTCCTTCATACACATTCTGAGTTTATTAAGTACTCTTTAGTAGAAATGTACCTCCTCTGTTTTGATGCATGCTTTGGCCACATGTCTGAGCTACACTGCCTTCTTCCATCTGTGTGATCTGAGATGCCCACTCAACATTATTCCCTTCATTTGCCTCTGATTATAACCACCCATTGTCAAAAGCTTAATTTCCCTAACCTGTCATAAATTTCATCTGCATGAAGTTATGAGGGGAATATGAAAAAGATGCAAGTAGGTGTACTGAGTTATAAAAGATCATGATTTTTCATGAGTGTGACAGTCGACAGATACATTAGCGTTAATGGAAGGTCAAAGAAGCCAAGAAAAGAACCTACACAGCCTGTTCATGTTAGTGTTGTGTATCAGTCAGATTTTAGAGTCATGAGACATACAGGATTTTCTTTCAATTTTAACGATTATTTATTCTTCTGAATTAGGGATGTCCTGATCCGATATTGATATCGGGTATCGGTCCGATATCAGCAAAAAAACAAATATTGGATTATGGGCCTGCATCTAAGATCTCCAATATCAGCACTACAAGCAGTCCGTTCCAGACTCCGCTCCAGCACCTCTATCTAGCAGCACCCAGATCCAGCATGTAAAGGCCACATAGTCACAACAACAGTCTGTACTAAGGTACTAACAAAGTAGCGAGGAGTAGGAGTGATGTCGGCCATGTGGCGGCATTTTTCGTCTAATTCCGAAAAAGACATTGCAGCTGAGTGCAAAACTTGTCATGCACGAGTTTGTGCCAATATCAGATCAATATCGGTATCGGCCATTACTGAAGGCTACAGTATCGGTATTGTATCAGAAGTAAAAAAGCTGTATCTGTACGCCCCTATTCCGAATACCGATCGGGTCCTACAACAGCTACAAAGATACAGCCAGAATACAAGTCAAAAACAATAATAGCTGATATTTTCTAAGCTTGAACCACAGTTGCTCTGTTTGTTGATAGTCATGAACCAGTGTAGATTTGTCTGTGTAGTTAGCTGGTTTGAAGCAGATATATAAATAAGGGGCCACAGTCCCCTTGCAGAAGTTGCTGGTTTTAACCCCTGCCTTGACCCCTTGCTGCGCGTCCTTCTCTGTTATCTACTCCCCTCATTTCCTGAAAGCGATAATACCTTCAATATAAGTCTGAATTCATAAGTAAGAAAATGGTTTGATGCCAACGAGTAATGACTTCTCACTCAGTGTAAGTGCTTTAACCAGCCTCTTGCAGGCCTGGGTAATAATTTGACACAATTATGATAGGGGGAGATGGATCTCAAGCTAGCTATCAGGTACCTTCGGATCCAAATTAGAGTGTTCTGATTGCTTAGTAGGATTCAGGGAAAAACATGTTTCAACCACAGTTACTATTTGAAACACCAGGAACTGAAGATAAATATAAAAACAGACCATAGAGTGTTCAGTATTAGTGAGATCAGTGTTTTAGTTCACAATCACTGCTGTGTTCCTGTATTGAATTTCAGGTATGTTGTTCCACTCCTTGTTTTTAAGCGGGTAATGAGAATGTACTGGAACAAGTTAATTTGATAAAGTAATTTTGTCGCATTAATACTTAAGCACTCTGCTGTGAGTAAATAAGGAACATGATCTAATACAAACTTTCTGCTGTTATAGTGGATGAGTGAGGTGAACTGAGTCTCACACGGTCAGAGGTTCCTGCTGCCTCAGCAAACACGACGTTCCCACAAACTGAAGACATGTTGATTTAGTTTGTGTCTCCAGTTCGGCTCACTGTGGTGTGTGTGTGTGTGTGTGTGTGAATAATGGAACAGCCATTAGCCTGTGACTCACCTGCTTAACACTAAGTGTGTTGCACTAAACGTCAGCTGATGAATGCAGCAGAGGTTGCTGTCAGCTGACGGCATGCTTGTTTCGTAGTTGTGAGTCACGCAGGCGCCATAACATGTGAGGAAGAAGATATTTATCAAGATGTGTCGTATTTGGGCTGTTTGGTGACCTTTTTTTTTTTTAAAGTGAATTTTAATCATTTCAGAGGGTTGAAAAAGTTTGTGCAAGAGTCTTGAAGTCTTTCCAACACACAACTGGAGATATTATCAACAGTGTCACCAGACTCCAGAGACTCCAGAGACAAGGACTTGGCTGCTATCTCATCACTTTGTCCTCTCTACACCATAAACATGACCACCACTGTGTGTGTGCATGTGCCTGAGCGTGTGCGTCGGTGTGTGAGAGCATGTGTGTGTGAATGCTGTCACCGCAGACTAACGGACACAGCTGCCTGTGCTTGAAATGCTCACAGTCATTAAGTTCTCGTCATGGTCACTGGATACCTCTTCATTCTCGTGTTCACATAGTCTGTTGAATGGATCTGTGTTGCATGTTTGTTTTTAGCCGCAGTGACGCTCAGGTTCGGTGAAAACAAACCGACTGTCCAAGTTTTGTGTCTCTGAAGTGGAAGGATACAGAAACAAGATAAATAGTCAGCCTGATGCAACAGAAAGCGAAAGAAAGAGCTATTTTTAAAACAGCAATAGTGCAAATTTAAAAACAGAGCAAGTGACAAAATATAACTGGGTGTATAGAGTATATTGACGATATCTACCTGTTGATAATAACCATTATAAACCCTGTATTGCCCCCTGAAATTAAACCCAGTCTTTAAACTTAATGTTTTTTTATAATAGTTTAATATTTCAAAGGTGATGGAGATAAAATGTTTGTTTTCACTGATGTTTCAACATCTACTTCCAGAGTTAAAAATCAAGTGCTTTACAGCACTGTTATCCACATAGCACCAACAAGTATAGACCAAAATATCAACTATTTATTTCATATTTTTATCGCTGGACCTTTTGGTCAGTGATATCTTTATCTTCCATGCAACTGCGTGTAAAATTAGCAAGAAATAGTGGAAAAATGTATTTGTTTCAATTTTCAAACATGAGAGAAAGTGTGCTGTAACGTGTAATGTGTTCAGTTTTTACGATTATTTATTCTTCCGAATAAGGGATGTCCTAATATGATATCGATATTGGATATCGGTCAGTTGTCAGCAAAAATTTGAATATCGGATATCAGCTTGCATATAAAAATCTGCAATATCAGCACTCTGAAACAAGCAGTCCATTCCAGACTCCGCTCCAGCACCTCTATTTAGCATCACCTGGTTCCAGCATGTCGAGCCCACGTAATAGCAACAACAGTGTGTATTAAGGTACAAACAAAGTACCAAGGAGTAGGGGTGATGTCGGCCTTGTGGCAGTATTTTTCATATAAGTCTGAAATATCAGATCAATGTTGGTATCGGCCAATATTGAAGGCTACAATATCAGTATCTTATCAGAGGTAAAATAGTTGTATCGGGACACCCCTAATATGTAGTGTGTGAAACATGTTCCAGCGATATTTCAGGAGGAGGGATACTTCCTGCAATATTGATCGGTCAGATCTTCATGCTCATTTAAAATCAGACTCAAATCTGCTATGAAGTGATATTCAGTATTGCTCATATAGCCATAAATCTGTGTTAGAGTTGCTTTGTTTAGACAGCTACTGTAGATGGCTGTTTTGCCTCAAAATCCTGAATTAGTTAAGTTCTAACTTCAGGGTTTCTGATGGGTCTTAAAAGTCTTAAAATGTCTAAAGTCCAATAATTTGAATTTAAGGCCTAAAAATTTCTAAAATTCTCTTAAAACCTCATAAAATGTCATAAATATACATTTGAAAGGTCTTAAAAAATGGATGGTGTTACTTACAAATAAAGATTGATTTAAAGTTAGTTTAAAATGTTCCAATTTCCCTTCATGTCTTTTGTACTTTTTTGCCAGTATGGATGTAAAATGGATCTTAAATTGCTGTCATTATGGTCTTAAAAAAGTCTTAAAAAGTCTTAAATTTGACTCGTTGGAACCTGCAGAAACCTTGTAACTATCTGACTCAGCTTATTTTAAAAGTGAAGATTTAAAATGTAAGGTAGGATTTTCTATAAAGCAAAGTATGAGGAATATGTCCCCATCAAAGGTCGGTGTCTAATAAAAACTTCCAGCCGCTGAAGCAAATTAACAGCAGGCTTTCACGACAAGTTATATACAGTAACAGAAAGATGAGAGGAGAAGGAGGCAGGAAGAGGAGGCCTATAAAACCCCAAAGAGCAACCTTAAAGAAGGCCGGAGCACACAGACACACTCGGCATCAAACAGACTCTCAGATCCAGCCTGAAATTCCCGCTCTGCCTCACAGTCATCTGCTCCACACATGTTGTCACCGTCTCCTCAACTTTGCAGACTTCTCTTTTCTCTCTGTTGTGCTAATTAGCTTCCCTAGCCGCCTTTCTTTGCTGCTCATCCAGTCTGCTGGAGTCTGTTGTTGTACGACTGGTTTGGAAAACAGTCGTAAAAGAAGAGAGAAAGCAGAGTTTCCCCTGTAAGTGGGGCAGGAGGTTAGGGGGTTCGCTACAATAAAAATCATTTTCAGATGTTGGAGTTATGTAACAGTCTGTTTCAAAGCCGTCATCGCTGGTCAGGGAACACCCCTCTCCAGCTCTGCTGTTTTTTTCCCTCTTTACCCCTCTCTCTCTCTCTGAGCCTCTGTTCTTCCATTTACTGAACTCAGCCTCACCCTCCTCCTCCTTCTCCTCCTCCTCCTCCATCCTTCTTTCAGTCCTGTTTTACAGTGAGGGTTGTGTTACCAGATGCTAACAGCTGCCAGCTGCTCTGTGCCTCTCTTTTTTTCCTACCACACTTGTGCTCTTGTCTGTACTTCTCTCTCCTTCAACAGTACACAATTAGACCAGAGTGAGACCACTTTTATTGACGAGATGTGAGAGGAGGACGGCTGCTGCTGCTGCAGAACTTTGAATGGCACCTCAACAAAGTACCTTTTGACTATGTGAAGAGCACATTTTGTTTTTTAGCTCAGTACCTTTTTTAAAAAACAACCCAATTAGCCAGGGCTCATATAGCTCTTATTAGAGCTCTGTGTACACATGCTGTAGACTGAGCTGTGCTTAGTTTTTGGCCTTTTAAAAGCCCTGTAAAAAGCCTTTTTATATGTATAAAGGAAAGTAAAAGACCTTTCTGCTTGGTGCAGATGACTCATAAAATAGGGGAACTATTTAAAGCCAAGATTCAGAACATTGGGAGAGAGATGGCCTTGGACATTTATTATCACCGACAGGGCCAGGTCTTGACCAGGGACAGAGATTTTAAATTTGAGATTTTCATTATTAAATGTATTTTTTATACTTTTCTGGTATGCAGAGAAAAAAAAAACAGCCTACATGGCTTCTAATGGTATCGTTATTGCCTTTGCTTAATCGTCTTTCACTGACTTAGAACATATAATATAACCTAGCTTTTATACTGGAGATTTTAACACCGATTTCAACATTTGAGGATGTTCATAGGGGCAAACAATCTTTCCCCCTGCCTGCAATGCTACAAACGCATTGATGTAAAACTCCATTTCTAATGCTAACAAGCTGTTATGCTCTGCACTAAGTCATAACTGTCAGTTTACACTGACATTTTGGTATCTTTTGATATTGTTTTCAACCCAGAGACAGTCAAGAGTTCTGCATTTGATTTAAGGTGATGCACAGTCTTGTTGCTTGTGGCCATGGCAGTTATATTCCCCCACCTTGCAAGAAATTATCTGACAACACCAAGTGCATTTCACTACATCCTTATTGTTTGTTTGGAAAAATGTAGCCAAAATTTAGATCCCATCAGCCATCCTTGAAAGCAATCGACCACCAGAATAATACTTTTTGTTGTCTAATACCTGTTAGCCAGCTATTCAAAACTTAATTTTTCAACCTGTGTGTGTTTGTTGACCAGTGCTGTGATTTAAATTACAGGCGTTAATAGAAGAATACACAATGAGACCAATAGGACGGAATATTTGAATCAATAAACTCAAACACTGTTAATTTTCAGGTTTAAAAAAATGCAGAATATAATCAGGTTTTGGTCCACACCCCTAACTTTGACTTAACTGAGTTATAAACTTGCACATTAAATAGACTGAGCTTTCGATTTATCAAAGAAACATGTTTCTTAGGGTAAAACTGTATATCAATCAGAGTTGGGATCTCAACCAACGACATGAACTAGTTCAAAGAAATCACTTAGCACAGGTAATCAATCACAATGGAGTTCATTCTGACAGCAAGCATGATAAAGTTTAAACAGCATCATAAGAGTACTTCATGTTTGACTTGAGCATAACTTCAGTGATTTAAATGTTATCCTTCATTGCTCAAACTACAAAGCTCATGATATGAAGTTATACCCTGCAGTGGCTACTACAGTCCTTCCTACTTTAGTTTAGCTCTTGTAACAAAACCTTCCTTTGCTAAATCTGTAAAGGGGATAAAGCATGACTCCTCTTGGGAACGAAACTAAAGTGCAGCATTAGGTCAGCCAAGGATTATACATCAGATATCCCAGAAGTACAATTGCTACATCTACAAACATGCAGAGTTGGCCAACCGGGTTCTGGCGGTCCCCTCTTCCAGTACAAAGACAGAGGGAGTACAGTAAAGTAAGTGGTTAAATACAAGCCTGCTTTCACCACATTTGCATTAAGGTTTAAGTCAGTGTAAGTGCCTCAGTTCAGATATCACCAACTTCATTCCTCAGGCTGCGTCTGTGCCGCTCATAAATGTAAATGGATTGAATATAAGAAATACTGAGGCTGATGTCAGCGTTGAGTCACAGCTCAATATAAGCACTGCTAGTAAATTCCACTTCAGACAGAGTGGGTGGGGGAACCAGGAAGCAAAGGGGAGAAAAAACACCTTCTGTTTTCTCTGCTGGAATGTTAATAGTTACTCTGACCTGAGGTAGACTGACACACAACCTGGTGTTTTTTTCTGCTGCTCGGGTTTTGTTTGGATGATATTTTTGGTACTTTATCATGTGGCCTCATCTGTAAATTTGCATTTTGGTAGAAGGTAACCAGTTTTTAAAAGAAAGGGGCAGTCAGTAAAAGCTTCTAAATGAGGATTGTTGCATGTTATAGCGTTACTTTATAAAGTTTCAGACTGAAACTTAAGATAGTCTTGGAAATGTAAGAATCCAGGATAAACGCCAAGCAGTTTCCAACATGCATGGAATTTATATGTGCAAACCTGTTAAAAGCAAGCATAGAATTAGCAAGATAGTAAGAAAGACAGTAAATACAGTAAACTATAATATATGATCTTGATGGGGTATGATAAAAACTGCTGATTTTTACATTCAGCAGAATAACAGTAACAGTGCGCAGTGACGTGAGAAGAAAATGAATAATCTTAACATTTCCTCATTTAGGTAAGTAAACTTCTGGCCTGAGCCCAAGCATGCTTACAGTGATTCCAAGCAAGCATCTGATGCCAACTCTGGATTCTTGACAATATTATATTTAAAATGTAGATTTACAATTTATGTCCGGGATGCATCTGTAGTAAATATTATTTTAGCAAGCAGTCCAAAAAGCTTCCATTTAGGCCATCAGAGAAAAATGTATTGGTCACTAATTAACTAAAGGATATAAACTGTTTCCATTAAAACAGCCACATGAACAGCAAGTTAATGGGAAAGTAAATTGAGAACCTGAGGGTAAGAAAATGTTTGTGCCACCTTTAAATATGAACTCTGGAAACCTCCTCATGAGTTGTTCACCTGAGTCCGCCCTGCCTGGTCTTGTTTGTTACCAGTGGTTGGGGGAGGTTAGCGGAAACTTGTAATTGCTGAGGTTATTGGAATGCGGTGGGGTAATTATTCGGGGCAGGTCGTGTCTGGACGACATGCAGTGTTGCCAAGAAGGTCATGATGTTCCTTGACCGAAATAGAGTAATCCAAAATATGTGGGCGGTAGACGCCTTTTAAAAGAGAGTTTAGAGAGTAAAATGCAAAACAGAAATCAGAAGTGATGTGCAGATGTTTTAAGTGTCAGTTTAAATCATTGACGACACATGGTAAAAGAGTCGCCATGATGCTATAATTTCAAATGTTGATATAAAGCAGTGGTTCTCAAGTCCAGTCCTCGAGGCCCACTGTCCTGCTTGTTTTGGATGTTTCCCTGCTCCAACACACCTGATTCAAATGATCAGCTCGTTATCAAGCTCTGTAATGGCTTAATAACGAGCTGATCATTTGAATCAGGCGTGTTGGAACAGAGAAACATCCAAAACATGCAGGACAGTGGGCCTTTAGGACTGGACTTGAGAACCACTGATATAAAGTAAAGGGAAAAGCAAAAAGGCGCAAAAAACTGATTAGCAAATCTTTGTATAAATTAAACTCTGGTGCTCTTTTGCTTGTGGAAGCTTTCTATGAAAGATCTGTAATTGCCATAGACTTTGGTACTTTTTCAACTTTATCAAATGTTAACTTAAAAGACTGTGTTTTTTCAGGGCGTGTGATATTAAAAAGTATTTTGAAAAATTGGTCAGGCCCAGCATCACTCTATATTTTTGTCAGAAAATCCTGAGACACCTCTTACCTCTCGTTCTCGCTTTGATATTTAATAGTAGACAGTACGATTGGCAGCACTAACTGCTGTGTGTTTTTAATGAAAATAATGTTTTGGCTAGCGTGGGTCATGATGACCAACTGGAAGTTTTGAGAGAGTTTTTTCTTCATTTATGCATCCTCAGGAAGTCCTCAAATCACCGTTTTGGCAACACCCTCGTGCAGTAATTTTAGCCTGTGCACTTCCACAGAGAGCACAGTTTTCGTCTTCTTTAATTCCCAGACATGTATTCGACTGACAAATAAGGAAGTAGCAGATAACAATGTTCAAGGCCAAATAGTTAGACTGGAATGTTCCCAAAGTCAGAACTGTGACAGACAACTTTTCGAACTTAAGTCTGAGGTTATCCGTGCCGATGGTTTTCACTGGAGAAGTGCACCCAAACACAGTCAGAGTGTCTCAGAAGATGGCAATGTTAAGTGGGAACTCTGCTTTGGATCAGACTGAGTCTCTTTAAAGTTTTAAGGACTGTCATTAAATTCAAGTACACTCTTACCATAGAGTGAAATAAAACGTGGTCTTCTGTGAGTCCTCTTAACTTTTCCCTGAGGTTCACAGTTATGGTTTTGGGAAAACTGTGGCTCGAACAATTCTTGCTCAAATTGTGATGTATTTTTCTATGTATTTATTTTAATTTTCCATGGTTACAAATTCAAGCATAGAGATGCTAAAGGAGACTACGTAAATGTATCCCCCCCTTTGCAGTACCCTGCAAACTGCAGTTTTACCCCAGTCAAGTTAGAAATGACTGTTATCAAGCTGCAAACAGTATAAACATTACTGTAAATGTTGAGCTGTAAATTGACATTTTCCCCGTGGTGTTATTTTGCCATAGAAAACAGCACCCCTGGTGGTCATTTTATGTGACGCAAACAGTTGCACAGCGTAAAACTTGGATTTAAAATGTCAGAGGATTGAGGATTTTGAGCGATACAGATGAAACTAAAAGATACGTTTGGTATGCTGTGTGTCTCTTTATGGTCTGTGTGTGTGTGATGCTGAGATTGGTTCAGTCTACACAGCAACATCCTAATCCTGGTGTTTGTATGTTGTCATCTGTGCGTTTCCTGCCCAGACTGTGAATCACAACAGCAGGTGGACTTTAATCACAGTCATAGCAGACGGTTATTGTTGGTACCAGCCGCCGTTTGTTCAAGGTGGTGTCAGTGTGTTCAGGTGCACCGTGGTCACGTGTGTGTCACTGGTGTGATAAAGGCACAGGGAAGTGTATTAACAGTTGAATTCTGGGTCTATAAAAAGGGATGAAATTAGAAAGCCGGATTAAACATTAATTCAAAGTATAAAAATATGACTTAGAAGTTTGTGTATCCTCAGGCTATGATGTGTGTTGCTCACAGTAACCTTACCCTGCGAGTGCACAGGTGATACCAAGCTGAATATAGCCCCCTTATGGCCAGCTGGCCCTGCTATTTAAAACAGTGAGCAGTGATGGGGGAGGTGGTGCGGGCCGGGGTTGACGGTAACCATCAGCATTCTGAGGGAGCCGCAGACAGTTTTCCAATCAGATTGAGATGCACCAACTTTGATTTTTCTGCTGTCGCTGTTTTGCATTTCAAGGAAACTTTAAGGATTTCAAGGAAGTTTAGAAGTTTGAAAAAATTAACTCAGCAACAGTAGAAACCAAGACAAAAAAAAAACAAGATAAAAGTTGTAAAAAAAATTTAAATGATAAATAAAAACCATGCCTGTGATGGAAGAAACTTTACCAAGCGTATGAGTTCATTATAAACACACCATAAGAGTAGGCTTTATCAATTCTATACGTTTGTCTGGTTTAGATGACTTTCATCAAGGACATAGTGCTCAAAAAAACATTGCGGTATAGTTGTAGTGATTGGGTATCAATCAATCGCTCTGAAAGTCACCCAGTGTGTGTGTGTGTATGATTCATCCCCGTATCAGATTTACCCAAGCATCTTTGACAAAGGTCGATTATATTGGATGAGGTCAGCGCTGAAAACCGTTACCTGCACTCGTCCCATAAAGGTTGCTCATTAAAGGACTGAGTCACTGTTTCAGAGCCGGTCCCTGTAGTTCAGAAAGTGTCTGAGAACAGATTGTGTCATTCATGCTGCTGCTGTGAGTTTGTTCTGTTTGTGTGTTGTTTGCATGTGGCAGCCCCCCCCGATCGCCTGTAACAGTGAATGAACGGCAACAGCTGAGCAGGAGAACTTTATCGGCCACACTCCCTGCTTGTGTGAGTGTGTGTGTGTGTGTGTGAGAGAGAGAGAGAGAGAGGGAGAGAGAGCTTCAGGAGGAGCTGCAACCAGAGCAGTCTCTCCGGGCACTCTTCTCTGGCGAGCTCACTGCCGTCCTCTCTCTACGCCACTGGCCTCTTTTCAGATTCCTTCCCCTACGGCTCTCCTGCTTTCTCATCCACGTCTCACCCCTGTGGATTTCTCTCTTTCCGTCTCTCCGGGCAGCGGCTCTGTCGTGACTCGCCGGCTGCCACTGCAAGGGAAGGAGAGAGCAGGAGGAAGAAGAGAAGGAGTGAGACAGACCAATCGATTACTCAGATACTAAAGAGAGAAAGCACTTGGAGAGGAGAGGCGAGGCAGTCGCAGCGTTTTTCTTTACACGTTTCCGTGCAAGAGGATTCTCTGTCACTTTTACTACAATCTTCTGAAGCATTTGAATCACGTCCTTCCTTTGGATAGAGGGGACAGTTAAGTGAAGGGACAGCTGGTGCAGTATTGACACCCCGAGGACTCTTCTTTCCTCTCCTGTTTAGCCAAAAACTGCAAAACATTTGGGAGTCAGGAGGAGGACCGCCTTTGAAGAAGAAGTCCAATGTTTATCAGATAATTACTCTTCAGTCTGAATGATAATGCTGGACACCAACCATTGCCTGTCGTTCGAACCCTCCCCCCCGGGTTCTCCTCCAATGGGAGACGACATGGAGAAGGCAGCACTACTGATGGATCATGAAAGACAAGTCTACCACAGCCTGAAAGAAGGTGGGCGATCTGGAGGTGCAAATGATACCTGATATGATTTGTGTTTGTGTCCGTTAAGGTTGACATCCGCACTTTATTGTTTCGCATGAATAGCAAACAGGGCTAAAGATAAGTAATTTGGTTAGCAGGCTCGTAAAGGAAGGAAGTTCAAGTGGTTATGCTTTCTCTGATAAACCTGTTCAATGGAACAAAGTTGACCACGGTGGTAAATTGAGGAACTGTTAGCGACTACAGCTGTACCAAAAAAACCCCTCCTGAGATGTGAAAGTCTCATTGTGTTATCATTTAATGTTGGAGATGCTCCACTGAGCTTTTAGGGGCACAAAAAAAACCTAAAAACTTTTAAAATTAGTTTAATGTTTGCCTCTTTGAGGTATTTTAAATAACCGCCATGTTTACTGGAGACATCCTCATTATCTCTGAATTTGCTGTCTGTTAATGACTTCAAGGATGATGTGAAATTAGTTAGTTACTACCAATAGTCAAGAACTAAGGCTGACCCAGTATAAGATTTTTACCTCACAGTTACCGTGGCAATAAGTCATCATCATAACCGATATTATCACAATACCTAAATTAAAACAACAATCAAAGTAAAATTGAGAAAAGGCAAAAGGTTTGAGCAACAAAATATTTTTAAAAATACTCCAAGTCTGTAGATTTACCTAATAAACACAATCAACTTAACTGTCGTCTAAAGTTTATGATTTATCCTCATAACTGGCTTTTATTTATTTTGATATATTTCAAATATTTTCAAACTACCCTTTTATTGTGTGTAAGCTACCTTCAGCAAGCCATTTAAATAAAAAGAAACAGTTAAAAGGAAGTTGCTCAATTAATCAATAATTCAAGAAGTCATCAGCTCCAGGTTAAAAAAACAAAAACAAATGCTACTATCCAGAGCGAGCTGTAATTTTTCAGTTCTACAGTCAGCAGTACCGTGATATAAAAACAGGGAACAACCATGATAATGTGCATGTTAAAGGTTATTCACCAAGACTACGATAGCAAACCAAAAGTTACTTTTTGTGTGCATTTTCTGTTAACATTTAGATTTGAACACAATAGCTGAACAATCCACAAGTGTAAAAACGGATGGTCCTAAAGGGTCCACTTGAGGACCAAAGGCTCCAAAAACCAAAGAAACCCAGTCAACACCCGCAAATAACAACTTTTTCGGAACAGGGATAGAAAATTACAGCTAAAGTTAAATGCAATTCAAAAATTTGTTTGATTCGTATGTAACTCTCATCATGTGACTTCATAACTCCTCTTCAAAAACCAAAGGCAGACTTTAGTGAGGCTAGATTCCTGTTTGCTACAGTTTATGATATTTCTCACTCTTTACTGTCACCAGCAGACTCACAAGAAAGTGTGAAGCCAGAATCAGGTTTACTGGTAGTTTGTCAGAGTTCTACTTCAGCCAGCCATGACCTCAGGCATAAGAAAAATGGAGCTGTAGAAATAATGTTGGAATGAAGCACCAGTGCTTTTGCTGGCATGTTGCTGAATTTCTCAAGCTTTCCAGCGTGAAATGTCAAACTACTCAGAATCACATTTTATCTGCATCAAACTTGAGTGGCTTTTCTAAACAAAACACAGCTTTAGCTATATGTCAGAGCCAATGTCAACCCTCTTTCCTCTTGTATTGACAATTCGACTAGTTGATAACTTCTCACAGTGATAGCTAGGGCTTAAAATAGTTGATGAAACCACTTAACTATTGACAAGGTGGTGAATAAAACTGGTTTAGATCTTATAACATTAAAGGGAACAATCACCATCTAGATTCAATATACAATAAAGACAAATTATCACAAAAAAGAAACCTAGTTATACATGTTTGTTTGTGCAGGATATCTGCTCAAATTCACTGGAACTGAGACGTGACCACTGCATGAAAAACAGGGGAAAATGTTGCCTAATTTGGAAAAGTTCACACCAAGTCCAACTAAAAAATGAGCCTCAGTTTGTTTATATCCAACGTTACAAGAGTCAGAGTCATGCTCGGCCGATGACAGAAACAAAACATTTTTGAAATGTTGAAGTGGTTGGAAAGGAGATAAAGTGGAAGGAGTTTCTACAGTAGCAACAGCAGAAATGTTTCACTGTTACTGTGCATATATTAACTGCAGCTGACAGCTTAAAAGTCAAACCAAACCTGCTTTCTGCTAACTGCTAACCTCTGCTAATTTCCTCCACTGAGGCAGGCGTCACATCCAGAGAAAGAGAGTGACAGGAGCTGCATAAAGCCACGAAAGCTCTGAGAGTGCCACTCTCCTTCCTTGAACTTTTAAGATAATTAGTATTCACTGCAGCCCTCTCTGCTGTCATTAGTTTCCCCGGCACACTGCGGCGTGCTGAGGCAGTGTGACTGATTTCAAGGTGCGAATAGCCTTCACCTCCTGTTGTTCCTGCTCTGCGGCCACATTCTGCGCTCAGGCCGCATGTACGACCTAACTGAGCAACTGCGCTTATGATGAGCTCACACTGGAGAGCATCAACAGGCTTTCCAAACAGAACATTTCCAATGACAATGCCAAGTGTACAGTCCTCTGAGAGCGTCTGGTGTTTGTTAGGTGGGTCTGTGACGCTGCTATCGTGCTCCTGTGTGGGCATGGGGCATTCTGCCTCCGTGTGTGCCGCTGTAATGGTCTGAGTGCGTAGGCTTAGCTGTGCCAGGCTTGGGGGTCTTTGGGGACAGTGATGAACTCAGACATGTTTAATCAGATCTTGTGACACATGAGCACAGCAGGATTAGCCTAGTTGGCCAGTGGGAACTTGGCTCTATCTCGCTGACCTCCTCCTTTTTCCCTCACTGAGGGCTCTCTAACCTTAAACATAATCCTGGGACTCCACGTTCCTCGCTACTTTTACATTATCCAGAGTCGTCAGGGATCCCTAACTTCCAACTTTGAGGAGTTGGTTAGCTAAAAACTAAATTCATTTTTGTCTCAATTGAATAACATCCATATATGTCGCCATTGAACCTGTTGAAACTGAAACTTTTTTTTGTAAATTGTTGATAAAACTGGATTATTTCTTAAAACTGCTGTAATTTTTTGTTGATTTGGTGACCCGATTGGACAATATCATATCTCTTATCTCTAAGCTGGGCTTGTTATATACTTTCTGGGTAGTGTTTTAAGATAAAAAAAACAATCCTCCTCTCTTTCTCTGTTAATTATATCACTTATCAAGACTATCAGAGTGCTGTTAATCTCCTCATTAGACTCCCACCCTGCAGTAGGAGTTTCAGGCATTGAAATAACTAAAGAAAAAGTCTGTCTTTGTTCTTATTGGCTTATAACCCTTCACAGGAGCTAGACAGCCAGGTGTCTTACAAGCACTATGGAGGTAACTTTCTTTTTGCATACAGTTTAGTCTTCATGGCGAACACAGGAGCAAAATCAGCTGTAAGACTTGTGTTTTCAGTTGAAGTGTTGTTGACGGGAAAAGGTCAAACTGTCCATAAACTGGATTCAATCCTCTCACTTTCATGCTTTACTTCACTTGGAATACATGTGTGTCTTCACTTTTATCAGACATTGATTAGGTCACTGAAGCACACGTCATGACAGCAGTGACATGATGGTTAACATTAAACCTACATGTCTGGTCAGCTTCTGTAAGCTAATTTTGCAAAGTGTTAAGTTAGAGTTGATCATTGTAGATAGCTCCAAATCATACACAACTTCTTCACTCAACTTGAAAACTCCTCGTGATGCCTTCCTCCTCACAGGAGCCTCAAGTGTGTCGTTGTCGTTGTCATGCTCTTAGCGTGTCTTAACAGTAATGAACTCAGATTTGGTTTTTGGTGAATTTTGATGAGTATTCTCTCTTGTTAATATATGTAGTTTTGAGTTATTTTCCAAAATTAGCCATTAGACGAGTTAAAATCACATCAAAAAGGTTAATTTATTATTGTATCTTTAATCATGACCAACAGGTTGTCTTAATAGCAATAGAGAGATGTCAAAAAAGCTCGTATTGAGTCAGCTCAAAGTCCTTGAAACGGGCAGCAGACTTTAATGCAGCATTGTGTTTTCCTCTTCTTTAAGCAGTGGCTGTAGCCTCTGTCGATCTGTCTCCCTCGCTCTCTCTCTCTTTCTCTCTCTCTCTCTCTCTTTCTCTCTCTGCGCTCCCTCGCTCTAACTTTTTATGACTGCAGAGGCCAGATCTGGCAGTGGCCTAGTATCCCAATAAAACTGCCCTGCCTTTTCATCCCTTTTCTTAAATTAACCATAAATGGCCTTCTAACCTAGTTTAAGGTGAAAGCATTGTCATATTTAAACACAACTGACAGCTGGCATGTCTTTGTCACTAGTACTGACTGTATTTACATGATCTGAGCATGAAAAGAGGTTACTATGAATAATCACCTCAAATCCTGTTTTTCTGCACTGCGGTAATAATCAACTTTGGATGCAGCAACGTTTTTCAGTTTGCCTTTTTTGATCTGTTAAAGATGTAATGATCTTTCCTCAAATAGCTTTATATTTAATCCTCCTCACTAGAGCACTTGGACTGAAATGAATCTCTGCTCTCTTTCTATTTAATGAAGTTGATTTAGACTCCTATACTTGTTATCTGTTAATAATTCAGCCCTTGATCTGGTTTGTCGGCCCACAGTTTCAACACCACTGCAGCTTTTCACACACTGACACCTCCACCAAGACATTTGAGGCGTCAGTGTGACACTTCTGCATTTCAGACCTCTGAGAAATTGTTTTTAATGACGGCTAAACTCGTCATTTTTATGTCTCTGTACACCATTATATTTGCTCAGTTGTTTGATGCCGGCAAAGGCGAGGCAATGTGGCAGCTGGCCTCAATGTCTAAGTCAAGGATTTCTTCTGAACCCTGGGCTAGAAATAAGAGATAAAGAGAGAGAGGGCAGAAGATTGAGTAAATAAGCTAATGACAAAGTTTGTTCGTTGTGGGAGAATACGAGGAGGGAGCAAGGAGATGGGAGACTTGGATCGAGGGAAAGTGTAAGATTCCCTCTCCCAGAATAAACCTATTCCCTGGAAGTGCCAAGTGTCTGGGCCTCCACTCTTGCCATGGCACGGTCAGAGTGTGTTTTTGTGTGCGTGTGTGTGTGTGTGTGTGTGTGGGCTCAGGCAACACGTGAGTCCCTTTAAGTGTTTGCCCGTGTGTTTGCCGCGAGGGGAATATTAATCTCTTAACTGCTGCACTGCTGCGGCATACACACGAACGAGCTTGGCCGTGTTTAGGTCTCTGTGTTTACCTTGCTGGATGTGAAGCTGACATGTTATTGCTTCCAGAGGGGAGTGTGTAGTGCCGCTCTGATCCTCCACGATGAAGAGCGAGCACACTCTGTAAATAAAACAGAGGGGAGCTCGGACCGCCAGCGAGGACGCAGAGCCAAGGGATGACATTTAGATTCAAAGAGTCTGACGTTATTTCATAGAACTCGAGGTGTTTCAGTCCAGACCCGGAGAGTTTGTCATAACAGAGAGCAGCAGCTAAGCTGGATGGCTAACAGGCCCTGCTAGCTAGCTTAGCTGCAAGCACCAATGATGTCATTCAGTTAGTGAGAGGGAACAGGTGCTGCTTGTGTAGCAGACACAAACCCGGCCTGAAATGCTCGGGACGCCTCGGTGGTGTGTTCCACTTTACACACACATACACACACACACACTCACATACCCCCCTCAAACAAAGACAGCTGGTGCGTTTAGACCAGGAGTCTCAGCTGAGTGGAGCTGAACTGAATGTCTGTGAAAATAGTTCTCAGTTTTAAAATGGAAACAGGCTGTTGCCAAGACGCAGGGTGGAAGTATAGTGCCCTATCAGTTACTGATGGACCCGAGTGTCTGCTGAGACAAACCTCTAACTCTTCTGTACATACTTGTCATAGTGGTTGACGTGTTTGTAGCTGGTTAGCTGTCTGAGTGGCTTAGTGAAAGGCCCAACAAACCTTAATCTCTGCGTCTCTTAGGGCTGGGCGATATGGCCTCAACTCAATATCACGATATATATTGCAGTTCACCTTGATAATGATAAATGAATGGTAACTACTCCATTGCGCCCCCCACGCAAAAAAAGGTTAGCCAATAGATGGGGTTGTGGCAGTTATATTGATAGTATGACTCTCCTGGACCTATTTATTGCAAATTTTTTGCCACTTTTAAGGACTGTTGTTACGGACTGGATGGGGTGGAGTCACATCTTTGATGTAGGACAGTGTCTTAAAGGAACATGAGACCATAGCCTACCTACACACATCCAAAACTAACTTTTATTTATCTATTTTTTTGACACCAAATATACCGATATGGGCAAAATGACGTTGGTTGTTGTCATAAATTTCGGTATCTGTAAATTTACAGTTTATCGCCCAGCCCTAGTGTCTCTTTCTGTTATCATAAAATGTTTTATATATATTTTATTTTTTTGGTGGGGGGATGGTTAGTCAAATTCAAATAAAAGGAGAGAAAAACAACATTGTGATGCTGACCTCCTCTCTTTATTATCATTTGCGGCATTGGCCATTGAGAAACTGTAATCCATCGACCACTGAGGAGGTTTATTCTGCTCGATGATAAGATTTTAAAAATGGAAAAATAACATCAGAACATGCAAAAGTTTCAATACTGCAGGATAAATGGAATATCCGTCACATTTGTAAAAACCTTAATATATCCCCCTAATTTTTAAAGAATAAAACAAGATAAATGAAGTGCAGTGAAAACTAAAAAGGAGAACAAAGAAGTGTGAGGTTTTGAGGCTGTGTTGATAATTTGGTCATAAATTGTGGTTCAAAGTTCTCACAGTTTGCATCACTCGTACTCTTTAAGAGGGAGTTCTCCAAATTAGATCGCTGAGTGGAAAAAAAAAAGTTCACTTCCTTGTTTGTTTAGTTGTTTGACTTTTGAAAACAGTCTACAGAGGATCTTATGACCTTGGAGAATTATGTAAAGTGTTGACTTTCAAGTGGAATCAAATGAAATTAAATTTGGAAGGAATAATCTGGTGAGCTGGTTGTTTCGTGAAATAAAACCTAGACAGGATTCTAAAAGGAGGGGGTCCTGTGAGAACAACCCACTCACCATACATTATTCCACTAATGCATGATTGTTATATTGGTTTGAGTAGATAAACACCTTTAAATGATTATGTTGTTACCCAGTGTGAGAGGCACCTTCTCTTAACTTGGCCTCATCATTCTGCCTCCATGCAAATGAGGCCTCACAGGGGCATCACCTAAAATGTGAGCATGAAAGAATCAACAACTTCACACAGCTGTATAATGAGGAGACATGAGGAGCTAGTGCAGGTTAACCCACAATGACAGATGCACTTGCATGATTCTGTAGCAGATCACATGTCTGTTAAAACTCTGTCAGGCTGGAATTTGGTTTAACTTCTAAAAGTATTTTCATGATTGCAACCGGTTTTACAAGATGTCCTAGAGGTAAAATTTGGTGTGCAGAAAGGTCAGACATCATCCAAATCCTTCTGTCCAGTGCTGTGTTCCTTAAAACTCTCTCTCTGTACAGCCTGTCTGTTATGTAACAAACATACTTCCTGTTTTGAAATGACAGAGCGATCAGGCCATACTCTATTTTTTTTTCTCACCTACCCTCAAAGCAAGGCATCTCATGTTCCAGTTAGCATTTATCTATTTTCTATTGCTTACTCATTCTCTTCACCTGCAATCTCTCCAACTCGTGTTCTGGTAAATGATGATTTTTCACACACACACACACACACTTAGACACACACACATCTGTATACTCTTGGTACACAGAGATGAAAAAAACCCAGAAACAGGAAGTGTGTAGTAAGCTGCACACCCTTCTTGTACCCGCCTCCTGCGTAGCTTCACAGAAGAAGAAGAAGAAGAAGGGGGAAATGGGAGGATGAATTGAGTCCTCTTCATTAATTCATCTGTGTGTCAGTGTGTGGATGTTTATCTAACGTGGCAGACGGACTGCTGAGCGCTGGACAATAAGAGATGATATAGAGGCTTTAAGAGCTCAGAGCTCCAACGCTGCGCTTTCTTATTCTCACCGGCGCTCACTGACTCTCTCTTCTCCTCTTTCTCCTCCCTCCCTCCTCACCTCCTCTTTCTCCATGCAGTCCTCCAGCTCAAACTCCTGCAGAGACGCACACGAGAGGAACTGGTCAGCCAAGGGATCATGCCACGTAAGTCTTTGCTTCGAGTCTGTGATGCTCATGAGGGTTCAGGTGGGCTCTTTTCTACAAACTTGCTCTCTGCATTGTCAGCATGTAGATCTAGTGGGTGATGCACATGCTCAATGAACCCGACCGAAGAACTCAAGCTCACTCAGTCTCACCCTAAGAAAGTTTTTTTGTTGATCATGTGAAATTTCCCAGTGTTTTGACTCTTTCTAAATCATAATATGACAGCTAGAGGAGTGAGAGTTCATACCTAAACTTATCTGATTAAACTTGTCTGCTACACAGGATAGAATTCTGAATTTTATCTGCCTCCGGAGTTTAAAATCAACTTTTACAAAGACTGAGACTGCTGAAAATGTCAGCCGCTATCTGCTTTTGCGATCTGCGGGAGTGTATATGCGTTGTGCATGTTTCAAATTTGGTTGTGACTTTGCACCACTTTGCGTTATCAAATAGGGCAGCTTCCTCTTCTCGCGTATCCACTTCCTGTTTCACAGTTCCGCACATCACAAGAGCAGGAGATTGAAGTTTTCAGAACTTTCTTCAGTTTTTGCTTAAAACAAAAAGATGAGTGGTAAATGAAGGTGGAAATATTCTTGTTACAACCTTTCCACACATGCAGCTCCTGAAATATCCTGAAATGTCTTGGCGGGGCTGCATGTGTGAACACAAACCGGCTTCATTTTTCTTTTTATTCAGCCTAATTTATCTGAACTTCCCCAGTTAAGGTGGAAATGCAGCAATTGAAAGTTAGAAAAATACACAACCGCTGTGTATCCTGCAACAAGCGCTCTGCACTCCTCACGAACTTCACATAACAAGGCTGCACAAGTGGGCCCTTTTATATTACCAACTGAACTTCCCCTCAACCTTGCAGAAGGTAAAGAGGCAGACTTTAAGTTGGCCTTAAGGTTTCAAGCTAGCATCATAATGGAGAAGTTTGAACCTTAATATCTTAAAAACTGTTGGGTTATAAAGGATTCACCTCTCCTTTACTGTTCTTGAATATAGAAATATTATTTCTAGACCAGAACCGATTTCTGAACCAGGCTACAAACTGAAGATTAACAAATACTTCAGCACAGTTTGAGTGTTAGGTGACAGCTTAAAAAGGTAACCAAAGGTATCTACAGCTGTTGATATCTCTAATAATATTTATGGTGGCCCTAAGGTGACAGGTTAGTATTTTGCACATAATGAAAGCTTACACGTGCCAGCAATAAGCTTGAATGTATTAGCTTCACGGAAGTAAATCAGAGTGCATGAAAACAGGCAGCAAAACAGTTATTTGCTATGCTAGTTAAGCACAGCTAATCAAAGGAAGAGGGAAACAGCTCTCCTTTACCACCAACAACTTCACTCATCTAAGAATCGTTATTCTGAACATCATCAAGAGTTTGGGTAAGAATGAAAAAGTGCAAAAACCTATCATTCAACATTAGCTCCAGCAGGCTGACGATGTTCTTGAATCTGTGTCGGTATCGGCCAAAATGAGTGAAAATATCAGCATATCAATATCAAACATGAGCAAAAACCAAATATCATGCATCCTCTTAAAAAATATTTACTTTTTTGGTCTGAAAGTTGTCTTTTTTTTTGAATGGGTGCGTATGTGCCATCAGTGTTTCTGCAGGCTCTCAAGCAGCAGCAAAGACAGATGCTTTTGACTTTTTAATTCTCAATGATCCAGTTAAAATGAAGGTTATGAGTTCTTGTCATTCATAGACATTCGACACATGAACTTACAGGGGACCAGTGCTAGACTGACAGATCAGTATCAGCCTCTCAACCATCTCATCAACCTGAAAATATTTCCATGTTGGTCAGGTTCTGGTGGGGGGGACATAACTTACTGCAAATCCTTGAAATCCCAGCTGTTGCACACGAGCACAGCTGAGTGGATGGTAATAATATTATTGTTAAGAGAGCACTTCGCTCAGCTATAGAGGACGCTCAGAGTGCCGGGGACGGACAAAGGGTCAGTGTTTACCACAGCATCGAATCCTCACACTGGTTTCGCAGACTGGAGGTGGTGTGAATGAACAGCTCTCCTCTTTTTTCATCCTTGACTCATCACAGTCTAGCAAGACAAGTAAATGCAAAAGTTAACAATGATGATAGGATTTTAATGCCACATGTGTAAATATGCAGTTTATTCTGCAGGTTGACATTTAAATCAGAATGATATACGCTTGTGTCAGATGATAGTTGGAGGATGACTTGACCAGTTGTCTGCTCCGTTCAGATCTTTACAGCAAGTTATATCACAACTGGTATGTGGGTCTTCCTCTTCTTGACAGTGAGTAGGGGGGGTGAGAGCATGAGGAATGCCTCCCACCCTCACCCACAGTCATCTGAGGCACACATACAGAGTGGACGCCCTGCTGTGACTATCATGTCCACACTCAGTCACACACAGCTGGGATTTCACCAGCTCTTGACCAATCGAACAGGCGCTGCGTTGCATCACCGTAACTGCCACTGTCCTCTCAATATCCTTCCTTAAAGACAGAGGACATTTTTGTTTGTGTCAGATCGAGGCGGTCAAACTTTCACAACTTGATGATGTTAGAAACCGACTGTTGAGGAATTTATAAGATGGTTCATCTATGAAGGCCACAAAAGGTAAAAAAAATAAACGTTTTTGTACCTGACAGGTTTCGGCTACTTTGCCTCTGCAGCGAAACATCACGTGACACCTCTGATGAAGGCTGTAGAGGCAAAGTAGCCGAAGCTTGTCAGGTACAAACCTTTATTTTTTATCTTTCTGGCCTCTATAGATGAACCGTCTTATAAATTGATCATCGACAGGCCGAATGAACCTCTTTAGTATAGACTGTTGGGGAACTTTTTAAAAATAGAAATCAAAATTCCAAATATTCAACAAAGATGTACAAAAGTAAACAGGACCATCAGGAACAAGACTGATGATTCAAATTCAAATTCAACTTTATTTTTATGGCACTTTTCAGACAAGAAGTGCAGTTCAAAGTGCCTCACAGAGGCTAAAAACAACAATAAAACACGACCCTCCCACCCACACACCCACCCATGGACCCACAAGCACACACAGACACACACCCACCTTCACTCGCTCACCCACACATACACACACACACAAGCACACACATTGTGAGAATTTAAGATATATTGTTAAAGAGGCATGACCTGACACAAATAGAAAATGATAAAAGGAAAGAGTAAAACCTGATGGACTAAAACAAGAAAACAATATTAGATGAACAGATGTGTAAGAGCTCTTTACTATATAAAAAGGGGTAAAAGAAGTAAAAACCTATGACAGGAATTAAGAAAAAGACTAAGAGCAGAGATAATTAATTAAATGACATAAAATGAACAATAAGAACTTCGATTAAAATGAAGCCTGGTTAAAAAGGTGAGTCTTAAGCCTCATCTTAAGAACATCAACAGTAATTTTTTTCAATGCCTGAAATCATCGGAGGGTTATTTGACCTGGTAAAGTAGGTGCAGCGTAGTGTGCTGCTGAAACTAACGTTTTGTTTTTGTTTTTTTTTTTTTTTTTTTTCTACAGCTGAAAAGATTTCACAGTGAGTTTAGCGAATGTAAAGAGAAAGCATGCTGCCGTCCTTTGTTCAAAATAACTACACATACATGATCAGAAGAAAATCAGCGAAGTATTTATGTCCACAGGAGGTGCCGCAGTTGACACAGACTGAGAGTCGCTTGCAGAAGCTTTTGCAAAATCATTAAGAAGTCTTTTTAAAACATTTAAACTGGGGTGTGAATAGAAACAATTAAAAACTGAAAGTTGCAATAAAGTTAAGTTTAAAATTTTTGAACATTGCCAGTTAAAAATATGAGTTTTGTGACTTTTATGAACAGTCTTACTTCTTACAAGTCTAATTCAATACAGAGTCTGAGCTGAATGTGGCTGGATAAAAATATATACTTGAATGTTTTTTTTTTACATTCACACCTCCACCCATACACCCAGTGTACTGCTGACAGTCATAGCCGAGTGCAGTGATGCTTTAATATTTTCTTTGCACGCAGCAGTCCGCCCATCAGTCCACTCTCTCCTGTTTTATTTTCATGTTTGTTCATTTTTGAACGACCCAGCCCGGATTACTAAACATCAAGTACCGATGTCCACGATACCCCTTGCAGATATCATTTTTCAGACATGCTGTAATGTAGACAAGTACCCCTTTAAAAGAAGTTTCTAAACGCAGCATAAAGGTCTGTGCACAGATGTAGCATTAACTGGATTAAAATAAACACATATCTATAAAGAAACAGCTGTTTCAACACTGAAAAAAGAGCCACAAAGACCAAAAGGAGGCGTAGTATTTATACTTTTATATTCAGCTGAAGCTAAAAGGAAACAAATGTTTGACAACTCAATGAAACATTTTGACCAGCTGAACTCCCACAATGCAGTTTGGTACAAAGTGGCTAATGCACAGCTGAGGTATGGTTTGGGAAAGCTCTGGTTTTGGTTATAGTAATGAGGTCTTGTAAGGTTCGTTCACATATTTGCTCCCTTATAACCCAAATGACATAAACTCAGCCACAGCCACCGACTAAAGCTCAACACTTCCTGCAGCTGCTTCACTGTTACAGACACACAGAGTTCAGTCATAGCACATCCAGGAGCTTCACTACAAAACAACACGCCCAAATACCTAATGCAGTTACACCATAATAACTGAGGTGGCTTTTACTGCAGAGAAAATTGGGCTTTATTCCTGCACACACAGCACACTGACTGCACCGTCCCATCGGCCTTCTGATCTGTCATCTCAGAGTGCGGTTCAGAATCGCACTCCTGACCTCCACATCCTGCAGTCACTTCTGCTTTGAGTCTGTCATCCTCTATATCCGTGTCTGTGTTCTCACATTGTCTCACATTATCACCCGCTGAAAGGAGCATCACAGTTTCCATTAGGGCCGTCTGAGCTGACTCCATCTTTCTCTCCCTGCATCACCCTCTCTCTCTCTCTCTGCAGCACTGAAGAGCCCAGCAGCTTTTCACGAACAGAGGAAGAGTCTGGAGCGAGCAAGGGTGAGTGTCCTCAGTGCGGCCAGTTTCCTGCTGTCTTGGTGAAAGGTTTTTGGTTACAGTTTAAGTGAACGGCTCGAATCACAAAGCATTGTTTGTAAGAGAATCCCTCTGTCAGCATAGACGTTTATGCGATTATAATCCTTGGATAAATGGCAGATGGATACTGTATCAGCCGCATAAATAAAAGTACGGTCAAAGAAAGAAAGAAGCTTGACGGACCATTAGGACTGCTTCACATTGATGTGAAAGTCTTAATTACAGAAGTCGACTCTATTTCAAACTACCATCATAAAATCTTCATTTATGTTATTACATATTTATGTCAACTAATACCTCTCTTTTGAGGAACAACATCTTTCTTTTTGTTCAGGACTCACCAAAATAACCTGACAACTGATAAAATCCTCTTTTGCAATAACCAGGATTCAGATCTTCAAGGTTTAAGACAAGAACTTAATTGATCCAGACTTCTGGATTAACTGACCTGGAAAGTCGACCCACAAGTTTTCAAATATCCATGAGGTTGTTAAAAAGTATTCAGCTCAAACTGAACCAGTTGAATTTACAAGCTGTAAACTCTGTGAACTCTAATGTAACCAAACAGGCGACTGAGAACGACACAGATGAGTCACGGTAAAAGAATGAGAGCATTTTGATGGACAGCAAGTTACAAAAAAAGCAGTTGCCAGCTGTGATCTGCTTATTTAAACACAAAAAAAAAGATTTATCACCAGTGTATCATAATGTTCAGATCACACACTCAGCTGTACTCTCATTGTTCTGCAGACCGCACACAGGCTGGTGACTGAGTTACTATGGTTACAATTCCCCGTTTTGTCTGTTGCATTCAAACTTTCTTTTGACTCCTCACTTTGCTGCTGTATTAAAGAATGATTTATATTAAAAAAAAATCAAGGTTCAAGTTGAGGCTTTTGCAAATAACATCCCTGAAAAACAAATGATTGGAACTATTATATATTTTCGCTTTCTATTACATAAAAGCAATGCCTTTTGAAGTTCAAGTCAGCTGAATGAGTTCTCAGATGAGTGAATTCATCAGAGGACTCGTACAAGTTTGCTTAAGTAACACGCACAAACAGCTGATGCCTCCTGTTCAGGAACTGAAAGTAAAAAACTGTTAAATAATTATGCCACCTATTTTAAACAAACTTTAATTCCAGCGGAAACAAAGTAAGCAGTTTTGAAAAACAGCCTCTTATTACTCAAGCGTAAGCAGATCCTTTTTGACTGTTATCCTGATGATCGATGTACCTAGTCTGTGTGCTGATGTAGCATTTCTCTCAATCCAACACATCTTGACTTTGAACACGTGTTTTATTCAGACTGAGGACTATCTGAAGAGGAAGATCCGAAGTCGGCCCGAGCGCTCAGAGCTGGTTAGGATGCACATTTTGGAGGGTGAGTTCGTACCTAAAAGTCAACCTCATTTTCTGAAATCCCTTTAAGATATGAAGTACATGAAACTACATTTAAAAGGAACTGTTCTCCAAAACGGAAGCACCTCCATGAGAAAAATTTCTTGTATAGTTTTGATATAAAATTCTTCAGTCTGCGTTGACTAAGTGAAACTTTTATGTCCTGCTCTTACTCATAGTTAGAGGACGCTTCAGTGTGGTGCAGTTTTCTTGTTTTTGCTGCAGGTCTTCATAAACCTCACCACGAATAAATCTGTGAATGTCCCATCTGTGTCCTCCACAGAGACGTCTGCAGAGCCGTCCCTGCAGGCCAAGCAGCTGCAGCTGAAGAGGGCACGACTGGCCGACGACCTCAACGACAAGATCTCCCACAGACCTGGTCCCATCGAGCTGGTTCACAAGAACATCCTGTCTGTCAGCTGCCCTGTGCACTCACCACTGGGTAACTGCGAACACACACACACAATTATGACTCACACATCCACAACTCACGTATAAACACACAAACACCTTGTTGTGCTGTAACAGCCACATATGTCTCGATGCATTTGTTGAGTTTTCAAAATCCCCAGAACAATAAAACCCACATTTAGGAAGAACGCTGAGTTGCTTTGGTAAAGATGCACCAAAAACATGCAGTACAGTCACTCAAAGAGACCAGATTATCATGCAGACACAGCCCAGTGTGGACAAAGTGTGTACGCAAACAAACACAAATTCGAACTTGAGTGTTAACATAGAAGGCAGAGCCCCTGGCACAGGTGAAACAATAGTTCAGCCAAAATACAACAATGTGCCGCATATTCAAACACAGAAAGAGGTGAAAAACACTGACTCATTACATATCAAGACACACTTAAGACCTAAGAACAACAGTGCGAACTAGATAACAGTAGAAAAAGCAAAAAATGACGTCTGGTTGTGGTGTGAGATTTTAGCAGATGAAGCAAGGGAACATATATCGACACCATTTTTGACACCCTGTTCCTCCATCATATCAGAGTCATGCATTTAAAGAACACTATGTTAAACTTCAGGTAAATAAACCCGGGTATGCGCTAGTAAAGACTTCTCATTGACCGGATGAGGTGAGGGAGTCTGAGCGAATCGGTCTTGAGCTGTTTGTTTAAACTTCACAATCATCAAAATTATTGTCAGCTGTCACCAGTAGCTAGAACGACTGCTAACTCTTCATAGCAGAAACAGGTGGAACTGAAAGTTTTACAGTGAGTCACAGAAACTGTAGTTAACTTTGTAAACGCTATGAAAATCACCAAACAGGAAGACAGACCCTCCTAAGTCTTTGAGGCCCCCCCAGAACAGAAACTATGTGTTAAATACTGGTTTTGACCTTCGTTTAAAGTTGCAGAAGATATTTTTTTGAAGTTTGGTGATGGTTGTGCTAATCAACAGTAGTAAGCTGTTTGTAATTTTTAATCACCTCTGTTTGAAAGCAAGTATATTAACATCAATTTACTGCATATTATCAAACTTTATCCAGTATTTCACACCACTGCTTTTACTCCTGGTAATCTGTAGTCCAAACAAAGTCAAACTCGATTTAATGTTACTGCTAAGTCAGACTCTTTAAATTCTGATAGACATGATCAATCTGAGCACACCTGCAGCTGTTGCAACATCCAGGTATCTACACACACCTGTAATCCTGTATTTTACAGATTAGTTATGGACACACTGCTTAGTAACTGCAGGTTGCATCATTCTACCAAATGAGATGCCTGAAAAACTTTGGCTAACAACAAAAATGACACAACATCAATGTTTGGACATAGCCCTGTGTCGAAACACGACAGGATATACAGTGTTGTATAACTTCTCCAGAATTAGTCAGGGGTGTTGAGCAAACAGTCATGACTGCGCTTGACAGGGTAACACATCGTGAGGAAGCTGCGGATTGAACTGTTTACCCTCTGGCCTGTGACCTGAGCGGTCATGTTTTACAGTTGCACCCGCCACAGACCGTCAAAGTAGATCACCACGAGATGTAGCAGGAAGTCTGAAGTTTTGTTTAGTGTAAAAATATTTGTTTGTTTACAGATTCTCCAAAGGGAGCTGAAGGAGAGAGTTCATCTTTGGATGAGGACAGCAGCGACGCTCTGTCACCAGACCAGCTAACCAATCACGACTCTCCTGTGAGCGCCGTACCTCAGCTGTCTCCACCAGACACACACACCCAGAACAGCGATATTTCCCTCACACAGGTAGCGACGCATGATGTCATTATAAAGTTCACAAAGGTTTAAGAATATTCTTAATCAAAACACTAACAAGAGTGATATCCTCTCAGTTTCTTGCACAGCGCCCTCCTCCTCCACCTCCTCCTCCTCCACCTCCTCCCCAAGTGAACGGGTCAGACACCTCCCCCTTCCCAAAAATGACTAACGGGACAGCGGTGACCATTTCGAGCTCCCGCCCTTCTACAGGACAGATCAAGGTGCAGAAACAGTCTTTATTTGCCTCCTAAGATCACAGAGCTGGAGTCGAACTTCCTGCAGATTTGATGACTTCTGAATAAATCTGACCTTAATCTCTGTTTGTGGAGCAGCTATAACTGGCTAACCCTCCCTCATCTTTTCATTTCCTTACTTCCTCCTCCCGGCCCCGTTTCTCACGCTTTTTGTCAGCAGTCTCAAACGAAGACGAGTTCAGATCGGCCTCCTCAGAGACCCAAGAAACCAAAGGACAGCAAACCCAAGGTCAGCGATCTCTCGGTTTCATTTTCTCCCCTAAAGCAGTGATAAGAGTTTGACATGTCTGATCTCGGCATATTTTACCACGAAAGCAGAATCAGTGACGCCTAAAAAACACATTTCTTCAGGCTGTGATTTGTTTGTTAGATTTATCTAGGAAGTTTATCACTCATCTACCCCATCAGGCGCCTCTCAAGTCCTCTGAGTATGTTTACTGATTTCGACTATAAAAAAAGTCTCACGAGGAGAACCTCATGTGAAAGAGGAAGAAATTGTGTTCAGTTGTTGTTTCCTAGAAACACCAGAATACTGACATGTTTTTGTGAACTGAAAATAGATGCTCTTTCGCTGTAATTACATGAATCCCGCTGATCTTTACACCCACACTTACCAAATGCACTTTTTTGTTGGCTTTAAAAATGTCATAAATGATCACCCTGTGTGGAAAAATGGTGCAGAATTACAGCCCCGGGCTTGTGCTGTCCAAAGTATCAAGGAGTATATCTGACTCTCAGTCTTCCTGTACCCCTGGCTGCAGGTGAAGAAGCTGAAGTACCACCAGTACATCCCTCCAGACCAGAAGGCGGACAAAGAGCGTCCGCCTCAGATGGACTCGTCGTACGCGAAGCTCCTTCAGCAGCAGCAGCTCTTCCTTCAGCTGCAGATCCTCAACCAGCAACAGCAGCACTACAACTACCACACCATCCTGCCTGCGCCTCCTAAGTAAGTGCACAGTTTGATGTTTATGTATGTGTGTGTTTGCCTGAAGGTTAAGATGGAGGGCTGCAGAGTTCAAATTGTGTGATTTCACTTTGACACATTGAAGTGTATTCACACCTGTAGATCAGGCCGTTCATCAGTGATCCTATCACCCAGGACGGATGTCGATATCTGGTGTAAACAGCCTCTTTAACTCCCTGACCTCTCCTGACCCTCCCTGTGTTGCCTCATTCCTCCCTTATTTGTGTTTTAAAAGTCTCTGGAGCCTAACACAAAAAGCAGAAGTAATATTACTTGCCATATTCTGTAAGATGATTCACTCTGTTGAGGTTCTGTGGTTGAACAAATTTGTGGCCAGCTGAGAAACGCCCAGTCTTTGCTATCGGTTATTTTAATCTCAAAGGTGAGGCCAATGCAGAGCTCGACAGTGCGAGTAAAAATAGATGTGTGCGAATTGTAAATGTGTTTAGGGGAACACATGCGCATAAAAAAAAATCTGCCGAGGCAACAAATGTTTTTTAATGTAAATACCATGGGGAAGTTAGTTTTAGGTTGGATAATTGGCGGACATTCACTGCGGATCTACCGGTGTCTTCTCACTCTCCATAACAAGGAATGGCAACAGCAGTGCGGTTAAATCTACTCGGCATCCTCGCTGTCAACGTCGCATGTTGGATAAGGGACCATCTATGAATTACCAGTTGATGTTTTCAAAAGAGACTGTTTTCCTTCAATAGCTTCCTTGTCATGTGACCAATTGACCTAAAATTGATTTCAAATAATAGTGCTTATGTCGACCAATAAGACACATATTATTTGATCAATTTTCATTGTGCCCCTGAAGTTCTTTTGTGCTCCTTACTTTTCCAACTAAAGAGCACATGTGCTCCTTGTGAAAAAAGTTAGTGTCAAGCCCTGCTATGTCGTGTTTTTTTTTTTCTGTTTATTGTTGAAGACTAAAAGTCAACCATGTAAGGAGAACAAAAGTGTTATTACATAAAATTATCCTTATTTCAGATGGCCTTTTTTCCCCACTTTTTAATCCCTCTATATGAATTTTTCCAGCATTATTTTACCTGTTAGATCAACAAAAGACCTAAGATATTTATACATATTCTCCCTCCTCTTCAGGCCACCTACTGAGCAGCCCACCACAACCACTTCTGGACCTTCCCCCTCTCGTAGTGCTCCTACGACAACCTCGCCCGCCACCTCCAATCAGAGCGTCAATGCCCGTCAGAGCCAAACCGCAGTGGGCGGGGCCAAACCTAGCACTCTGCCGGCCAACCTGGATGAGTTCAAGGTGAGTTTTAATCGACATCTTTGTCAGGTAGCTGCCAAGAAGATTCTCAACTCAGTGTTTTTTTTTTTCCTTCAAACAGCTTCCATTAACCTTGTTGCTGACTAATAACTATCACGAGGCCTTTGAATGATGACTCAATGATTTAAACACACACACACACACACAGTTTTTGATGCACACGGAGAGGAAGCTTAACGAAGACTTGAATTAATTCATGCTGCAGGATTGAACCACCAAATGAAATATTGATCATTTGTGAAGACCGTTTTGTTCTTTTCTGTCAGACCTGCTGGGACACAGACAGATTGTTATTGTTGAGCTAAAACTGACAACGTTCAGGTGTCATTTGACATTATGGCAGCAATCGGCCAAAACAGCCTTTATCTACCGAGAGCTAATTTCCTGAGTTTTTCTCTAATCCTTTTTTTGATCATTAGAGGACCTCTCACATCCTATTTCAGGTCCCTGTACCTACTTTGGAAACCTGGGGGCCTTATTTTGTCCCTCACTTTCTGTTTTTGTCTCTTTCAGTTACTCTGTTCTCTCTCACTCTCAGTCACGACCTGCTCACAGAGTCCTCGTCTGGTTTCTCATCCTTTAGGTTGCTGAGCTGAAACAGGAACTGAAACTGCGTGGTTTGACCGTTTCGGGTACCAAGAACGATCTCCTTGAGAGGCTCCGCAACTACCAGGAGCAAAACAACGGCAGCACAGCGGTTGTAAAGAATGGCACATCGCAGCCCAGCCAGCAGGCCATGACCTCGGCTGCTGGCGCCGTCACTTCCTCCCCGACCACAACCACCACTCCTGAGCACCAGCCTGGGGAAGGAGGGTTTAAGTTAGCTCTGTCCTCATTGGCTCAGGTGACTCCGGGGCGGGTTATGCGGTTTGGAAGCACCAGTTCCAGCCCTCCGGTGTCGCCTTCACCATCTGAGAGGTCTCTGGCCGGGATGAGCCCTGACGAGACGAGCTGTAACGGGGACATGTTTGGAGAGATGGTGAGATGATGGTTTCCTGCTACAACAGGAAAGCCTGACAAAATATCAGGAACACTTTATTCGGCGCCTATCTCTATAACGCATCATAAATATATAGCAATAATCACATTATGATAATCTCACACATTATAAAGTATTTTATCATGACTTACAAGGTCAGATATTGTTATGTGTTATAACTGTTAACAACTCATTGACAATGCCCACATAGATAATGCAATGCAACTGTTGTTAAACAGTTATAACACATTATAAAACCTGACCTTGTAAGTCATGATAAAATGCTTTATAATGTGTTATGATTATTGCTATAAAGCATTATGATCATTTATGAGTGTTTGTAACTACAGTTATACAGTGCTATAACGTGATTATAACACATCATACATATATTTATACTGCGTTATAGAGAGAGGCGTCAAAGTGTTACCAACATTTCCATGATATTGAAGTGAATCTTATATGCATCCATGTAAATCAGAGTCCTTAAAGAGTGTTTACCATCATGTTTATTATGTAGAGTAAACTGGGCTGAGTTATTTATAACATCAAAACTGGTACATCCCTTATACTTCATATCAGAGTGATCCTTATTAAATAGCTCTGCTGACATCTTCAAACTCTCTTATTCGGTTTGTCTCTGAGCACAAAGGTCAGAGTTTGCAGAACACGTACATATAAGCTGCTTAGCTTGTATGCCATCCTATCTTTTTTTTTAGAGCTATAAATGTCATGCTAAGCGTTGGCTTTGTGGCATTAGCCAGTATGATATTATTACATGGTCAAACCCTCTCTGGCGAAATGAAAACAGCGACCTTTAAAAACACCCACGGGCCTCGAAATCAGGCGTGGATGAGACGAAGACAGGGTGAAAAAAAGAGCCAAACAGCTGCAGTGGTATTATCATATAAGATGATTTAAACAGATTTTTAAGATGTTCATTATTTCAAAATTAAGATCCTGAATGATAGATAGTTAACGGCTGATGTTGTGTTTATGTTTTCAGAGGCTCCACTGGTTCAGAAATGTTCATAAATCCTCCTTTTGAATGTTTTCTCTTCTTGTTTTGTCATTCCCCAGGTGAGCTCCCCCCTCACCCAGCTCTCTCTGCACCCGTCTCCTCAGCACCCATCCAACATCACTCAGTTCTCTCAGCCTCTCTCCAACGTTAAAGAGGAGACCCAGAGCTCCTGCAGCCTCTCCAGGCCTTCGCCCTCCTCCTCTCAGCCTCCAGAGCCTCAGCCCGGAGTCGCCATGGACACCATGGACAAGGACCAGATGCTGCAGGAGAAAGACAAACAGATTGAGGAGCTGACCAGGATGCTGCGGCAGAAGCAGAGGCTGGTTGAGACGCTGAGGTCGCAGCTGGAGCAGGGCAAGATGGTGGGTGGGATTGTATTGGCAGATGTGGACAAAAGCAAAAAGTTCCCAGAGGTCAGACTTCAGACTCTGATAAAAGCCTCTGCCATCCAGCCCCCTGTTCTGCCCAACGGCATCGTGGTGAAGGTGAAGAAGGAAGAGGAACCTGAGGAGGGGATGGAAGGAGTGACGGAGGAAGCTCAGGCGAAGAAGCCGGAGCAGCCGACGCAGTGCTCTCAGGAGACGATTGTCAAGCTGCAGCAGATCCATCGACTGCAAGTCCAACAGGCGGAGCAGCAGAAACAGACGCTGCAGCAGAGTCCAACTCAGAAAGCAGCAGAGGCGAAGCCAATCTCGCAGAAACTACAGCAGCAAAAGAAAGAAGCTCAAATCCTGCTCCATCAGCAGCAGCAACTGCAGCAGCTCATCATCCAGCAGACCCAGCAGAAACAGCTGCAGGCCCAGCAGAAGTTAGCGCAGCAGAAGCTAGCCCAGCAGAAACTCACTCAACAGAAACTGCTGCAGCAGAACCAGCTCAAACAAAGCCAAGGGCAGGTCCACCTGAACCAGCAGAAGAACCAAGTCCAGCTGAAGCAGGTTCAGGTGCAGATCCAAAAGCCTGCGGTGACGGCGCAGCAGAGGAAGCAGCTGAGGGCGCAGCAGAGGCAGCAGCAGAGGCAGCAGACAGCAGCTGTCACCACACAGCAGGTGAGTCATCCCAGCAGCAGCAGCAGATTATAAAGATTGAGATGATGATGACCTCAAAGTTAGTTTTTTGTTCACAAAGAGATCCAAACATCCCTGAAATAAACTCATATTTTTGATTCTGTGTCCAGGTGACCCCAGTCGTCATCAACCAACAGAACGGCACTCAGATCCACACTCAGGCCATTTCATTAGACCTCCTCAAGGCCAATGGAGCGCCCACACTCGTCACCGACAGCAACGGCAACCATTACCTGATCGCCCTTACCAGTAACACCACAGACGGACAGAATGGAGTGTCCTCATTGGCCAAAACCAACGGACGCATCACACTGCAGGTACAGCCAAACTGACATTCTTTACTGGACCACAAGGGTTTTTTTTTTTTTATATTATGATCTGAAATATTCATGTTTTCAACTGGTGGTCTTCATTTAGAGATTGCAGTCGACTCCAAGTAAACTACCCAGCACTGAGAGCCAATCAAAAGAGCAGCCAGCAGCCCAGCCTGCGAGCCAGCCAATCAAAAAGGTAAAACACAAACAAATCATTATGGGGGATCAGGGCCTTTTCTCTGACTCTGTTTGTTGAATGTTTACGTGGACCAGTTCCTATAAGAAGAGAAAAATGTCATAACGAACAGCCAAAGCCAGTTGAAACCAGAAGTTTAGATACACTATATGACATGACATGATAACATCATCTGGGCTTTCCCAAGTTGTTTGAAGACAGTCATTTTAGTGTATGTAAACTTCTGACTCTCAAAAAATTTGTAAAAAAATTGTCTAAAAAATTCTCTCTCTCGTTATTCTGGCATTGAGCAAATAAAAATAATTTTGGTAATCCTAATTGACCAAAAACAGGAGAAGTTTAATCAGATTTTTTATAGAATGTATGTAAACTTCTGGTTTCAACTGTATATTGAGGGACCCCGGTGTAGTTCCAGTGTAATCACAGTTTCTGCCTTCACTGCTGCAGACACTGATCATTTGTTTTTGTGTGTAGAAAGTGTAACATGACACAGTTACCGCCCTCTTTCATATGAGTGAGCACAAGCTGTGAAGCAGAACGTTTTAGAGTGAACAGAAAAGTTCATAACCAGTTTTTCTAGATCGGATATATTTAGCTGGAACTTTAGACTTCATCCAACAAGGCTTCTCAAAGAAAGCCTAAAGGATATGTTGAGCTCAGAACTAAATAGTATACATCTCTGAACTCTGAGGATGTGCTGTGGTATCTGGCACAAAGGTGTGAGCAGCAGCAGGTCTGTTAGGGTCCTGTACATGGAGGGACTCTTATGCTGCTTTAATGTATACAGCTAAAAACATATGTAGAGACGTATTAAGTGTAAAAGTAGCATTTTAAATAAGTGACTTTTAAAGTTTTCTTGTCTAACAGTGCCTTCCTGTAAGTGTTATGTCTTTCTACCACAAGGTGTCGCCACAAACCCAGTCACCACAGAGCCTGAAGTAGTCTATCATAGTTCAGTGTTCATCAGACTAAAGTGTCTTTGCTCCTCTCTCTGTGCTCAGGGACAGAAGGCGGGGCTTCACCTGGACACCAATGGCGTCCCACAGCCCAGCCTGTCAGTCACCGCTCCGCCCAACCTGCAGCCTTTCTTCGACGACGTGTCTGACAGCGAGAGCCAAAGCAGCTTAATCTCGTCTCTGAAGGTAAAAGCCACATCCTGTCCCTCCTCCTCCTCCTCCTCCTCCCCCTGCTGCTTCTACTGCTTCATGTTCTCCATGTGTTGTAAACTTCATTAACTTTTTTTTTTCTCCCTTTTTTTTCTGTTTTTCTTTTACATCCCATCTCTTCATCACTCCACCCGGGCAGAGAGAGGAGGTGTGTCCGCCATATGATCGGCACACACTGTTCACCCCTCCCTCTCCCAAACCCAACACCTCCCTTCCTGCTCAACGCTCCAAAGTATGTCCCCCAGCTCTTCGTCTCTTCTGTTCCATGTTTTCTGCAGTTTGTTGTGTTTCTGCCCGTCTCCCATCTCAGCATCTCACTCTGAGCTCTTTGCTTTTCTTACCAAACTAAAGGCGGCTGGAAAGTTTGAGCCAAGATTGCTGTGGAGTTCATTTAGATCTACTACTTTAATTTGTGGTTTCATTATTTATGTAACGGGTTATTTTTTAAATAGACTTCTTTGAAACTGTCCTCTAATGCTTCTGCTTAACCTCAGAGTTTCATAAAGTTCAGAGGTGAGATATCTGAGCGTACATGTCTGCAGAGACTGACTAACTGTCCTTCTGACAGAATCGCACTTGTTGCTGAAACCACACACGGTGCTCAAATGTGTGGAAACTTTAAAAAAGCTTTTGTATGTCCCCCTTTAGTGACTCAAAACTAAACCTATTATGATGCTGTTTGCATGTACACGGTTAAAGTGCAAAAATATCAGATCTACATTTTTCTTTTTCTATACTTTATTCATGAAAAGTTTTGAGGAAAACAAGTTAATGCTGCGCCATAAACCGTAAACCTTGCATTTTATTTTATAGCCAGCAGAGGGCTTCGGCACTGCAAAAAGAACATTGTTTATCTTCAGATACATCAGACATCGATGGATGGACATGATTTCAATCGCTAGTTTAAAGTTTTCTTCAATTCAGCATGACCTCTGACATTTTGAGGGGAATATACAATAAAGCAGAGCACACCATCATTAGCTTCTTCTTAACACGTCTCCATAACCCAAACCATGATCGAGATTTTGCTTGTTCTAACTTGCCTCTTTTCCAAATTACCTAACGGTCACCTCTGCCTCCAACAAACAAACAAAACATTCAAAATACTGAACTCAAGGTTTCAAAGCAGAAATCCTCAACGCCATGACACAGCAAAACCAGTTAATTTAAGATGTAACATATTAAAGTGCAGGTTTTCACTGTGGTGGTAATTTGAAGCTTGTATTTCCATGTCTAATTGTAGACTGACTAATGACACGCTCTCTCCTCTGTTAGCAGGAAAATGGCGTGAACAGCCAGCAGATGGACGACCTGTTTGACATCCTGCTGAAGAGTGGAGGTAATCATCTCTGTTATGAAACATTAAAGGCACAGTGAGGAGTTTTCATTTCCTGTTGATTCTGGTGATCACTTAAGACACAATCTGTACTTCCAAGATGAAGACTGCATATCCCATGAGCACTAACGTCTAGATGTGTGCTTCTGCTGTTGTTCCTTCTTCTCTGTTTTAACGTTTCTCCTTCTGTGTCCTCCTTCAGAAATCCCTGGATTCAAATCCAACCCGGACCCTTCCCTCACCCCACTCTCTGACCCACCCTCCCCAGCTTCTCCCCCATCTCCTCTCCACCTTTCCCCTCCCACCCCCACACAGCCCCTGATCTCCCCTCAGCCCTCTGTGTCTGAGTCCTGCTCAAGCAGCGGCCGCCTGGAGGACTTCCTAGAGAGCACCACAGGCACCCCGCTGCTGGGTGTGGAGCCCGACAGCGGCCTCACACTGATAGACGAACTCCATAACCAGATGCTGAGCACACCCAGCATCCTGGACCACCCCCCTTCCCCCATGGACACATCCGACCTGGGCTTCTCCCCTCACTCTACGGGGCTGGACTTTGGTGACCCCACCTTAGACAGCATGGACTGGCTGGATATCTCCATGGTGGGAAGCGGCAGCGGAGGGAGTGGGGGCGGCGGAGGGGGGAGAGGAGGGAGCGGAGGAAGGGTAGGGGGTGACGGAGACGGGGGAACAAGCCTGGTCCCGCTGGCACCACACACTCCACCCAGCGTCTTTTCTGCTGACTTTCTGGACAGCACGGACCTGCAGCTGCACTGGGAGTCGTGTCTGTAGCCCTGAGTGCGGACTGTCAGGCGCTCGCTCACACTGTGTACAGGCTGCGTCTTTATTTCATGCACATACTGAAACCTTTTCTATGCTGTCTCTACCACTGCGGGGGTCACTGGCACATGCAAACGCACACATTTATACGGTTTGCCCTGTCTTTTACTGGCTGTTACTGACTGCAGGATGAGGTGAAATGAGAGAGAAACATAGATATTTGATTCATAGAGAGGACTTGAACCTGTTGGGACTGAAGTGGACTTTCTGAAACTGAATTCTATGCGGATCCAACCAGGAGGCAGTTACATCCAAGCTGGTTAAATCCTCTTTCCTTTTTCCTGAGCTGCATTTTTAGCAGGTTAAAGTGAACCAGCAGCAGAACTGTAGGTCACTGTAATGAAACATTTTAACTTAAAAAAAACGGTTTGACAGATTAGAGCTGAGCCCAGACCGTCAGTGACGATCACTCATGCTCCTCCTGATATCAGAGTGTGTGTGTCAGTGCCTCCTAAACTTTGCACTTATGCTGAATCTGATTGGTTTAAAGGGGGGCGTTCAGGTTACAATCTTAAAGCCACCGGGCGAGAGGAAGTGAGAGTCGTCATCTGTTTCCTTGATTAGCTGACTGTTTTGGGGGGAGAAAAGAGAGACAGCTGTCAAAGACCTCATCACCTCGCCACGGCAACCTGAACCCCACCCTCACTAGTCAAAAACACAACCATGGATGGTTGACGGTTGCTCTTGAGATGAACCATATCATTGGCAACAGTTTGAATTGAAGCCTCATTGGAGGTTGCGTATTATTGGTAACATTATGGTAGACCACTATGTATTGCTGTATATGGGGTGTATATTATCAATTGTCCATATGACTATTTTCTTTGCTGGTTGCTTTAGAGTCGAGCTAGCCGGCTGGGGAACATAGGGTGAGGGCGGGGCTTCCAAAAGACTTGGACCTTGTCATTTTTTAAAGAAAAAAAAGTTGGAAAAAAAAAAATAAACAATTATAAAAAGTCTAAAAATGTGTGTGTTTTTCTTTCACATGGTCATCTGTAACACACTCTCCTATAATCTTGTAATAAAAAGATTTACCACAAGAGGGCGCCATTGTGAAGAAATCTGCTGCCTGAAACCATTCTGCAAAGCTTGAATGTACCCAACGCTTCACTTTTGACCACATTGGTAAGTTTCCCACGCCACCATTCATAGAGTGGGAATCAGCCAGAATAAGGCAGAGCAGATTTAACCTCAGTTTTGTTTTTACAAAGATTGGACGTGTTATTTTGGTTTGTGTTTTTACAAGGAAAACACAAGCTGTGATGGTAAAGTGAGTCAAAACAGATATTAATCTATTCAAAATAAGATGATCACATTATAAATGGATGTGATGCCTCTGACAAGTTTTGGAAACCTTTAAAAATTGAGCAGGATGTGATTGACAGTCTTTCAGCTGGCAGCAGAAAGTGTATATTTTTATGATATGGTGACTGCCAATCTTTAGGTTTCGTAACACTTATTCAGAAACCTGTGGATGATGTCACTGTGACTGCATCCATGTTTTTATATAATTCATGGTTTAATGTCTGTAATCGCTGCGGCTGGGTGGGTGTCAGACGAGGCAGTTTACAGCACCGAGGAGAAAACAGTCTTTTTTAACAACATGGTTTCTGCAGCAAATATTCTCACTGAGTGATAGGCTTTCTGTTCAAAAACAGCAGGAGGAGAAACACACTGACCTTTGTAACAAACAGACAGATTGTGTAGTCAACATTAGGCCACCCTTCGCTGCCTTCAATTGGTGCAAAATGCTGCTTGACTTGCCAAGTTGTGAAGAAAGCGCCGTCACTGAATCTTGATCTGGGCAGTTTGGTTTTAAGATTTTTATTTAATTAACTTCTCAATCTCTACACAATCAGCTCCCCTATGAACCTGGGTGCTCTCGCAGAAACTGATATGGGTTTGCTGGTTGAACTCAGGGCCAGTTTTAAGACCAGGGGCTGTTAGACTATGAAACAACAGAGTGGCCTGTCAGCTGAAGTCTAGTGTTGTACTTTTTCATGAATTAAATAGATGAGAACTTTATTAAGCGGCAGTACTATGCTTATCTTTATATCTTTATAATGTCTCTCTGAGAGCTACGGAGGACGAGAATGGCCATGGATTTTTTTATTTATTTTTTTTATGCACTGTTATCTCATGATAACGACTGATCTCATTATCTCAATATAACAAAGTTTGTTTTCCAATGATAAAATTATTTTTTTTCTAGCAACAGCACTAGCCACCAAGCATCTTTTTAACTTTGCCTTATTTCTTTAGCAAAGAGACTAAACACAACTCAGCTACTCTCTTCCAGCAGCGGCTTTATTGTAGCGAGACCTCGGGCTAGTCCATTACAGACTACTTCGGGGTGATGCAGCTCAAGGAAGAAAATTGATGATCATATGGAAATGCAATCAGACCGAGACGCTAAGGCAGAAAAAACTATCGTGTCTGCAGTGCAAAATGATTTTTAATTTGATTTATTAAAAATGATTATTAATTCAAAGAAATGATAAAGAAGGCTAGTGCTGTGGCTGGGACCCTATATGTACTGTTGATGAAGTTAGGTGCTGTTCTGAACATTATTTGTGGCTATAGAGTGGTGTTTTGGTTGAGGTTTGTTTATGGCTCCTCAGACCGCTGTGTATTGCTGTCGTGTGGTCGTTACTAAAGTTCATATAACTAGAGAAGCAAGCGGTCAACAACATTCATCTCTTGAGGGGGTGTCTAACTCTGTGTTACAGTGTGTTTGATCCTAGCTTAATTTTACGCCGCAATATCCCCTCAACCTTGCAATCTAAAACTTTGCTCATGTGTACTACTGACCTTCAACATTTTATCTTAGAAATTTGTTCTCAAATTGTGAAAAAAAATGCCTCTTTAAAATTGTGCAAACTTTTGATTACTTGGTTTGTAATTATTTTGAGTTATTTGTAAAGCAGGTTGTTACTTTGTAGATAAAGAGTATTATGAGATGTAATTGATGTGTTTTTGGTATGAAATTCTAGGCTGTCATCTTCACGCATACCCTTAAAATACATTATAAGTGTTGCTAAACATCAGAGATAGGCGTTAAACATGAGCGTCTTTTCAGCAAAACCACTCTGTCCCTGCAGGGTCACACAGAGAGATCATCTCTGGATGAGAAGTGACTCACACGCAGCAGAAATAAAGGAGCAGCGTTGGTAATCAGAGAGCCCTTTAAAGAGACTGAGTGTAAAGTGTCCTCTTCACCGTCTTCAGGAGAGCTCCTCCTTTCCTGAACCTGGAAACGATTTCTCAGCTGCGCCGACCTTAATCGAGATTGAACGCCTGGCTCACTCCCCTCCTCTTCAGCCTTTCAAGTTTCACTCAGCCGGCCCCTCATCATCATCCTCATCATCATCACTCTCTAAGACCCTGATGAGCCATCAAAAGCTACCCCCCACCCCACCCCTCCCTCCACACTCTCTTGTACATACTGAGTCCAGCACATACAGATATTCAATGCACTGCACGCAAACATGCAATCAGCTCAGTACACTCTTTCACATTCGCTTCACGCACACACTCACAGGTCACAGCAGCTCCCAAGTGCCACATCATCACAGCTCCTTCTCTCTTCTTCTCTCTTTCTCTTTCTCTCATACACGGAGCAGATAAAAGTCCTAAGGCCACACCACTAATTAACTACAGTGAGCTTTAAAGGGCCGCAGCCATGAGGGCTAAAGATCTCCTCTGTATCCCACATCCCTCTGACAGGAGGACCCCGCCGTGCAGCCAGCACACACACGATTTTTAATCACACACACACGCAGAAACTCCTCATCGGTAATATGCAGAAGTTATGAGAACTAAACAAATCTTGAAAGCTGTGTCAGATTTGTTGATGATGAATTGAATATAAAACTAAATTTAGTCAGAAAAAGAGTCAGAAAAGTAAACTCCTTTGCTTTCTGTTCAGATTAAAGATTAATCAAGACATTAAAGCTCCAGTGAGTAGATTTTTATGAAAAAAAAGACGATCAACATTATGATGATGATTTTTATTTGGCCATTTTTAAGGTCATGCAGAGACAGGCACCTATGGGGAATTTAGAGTGATCAATTCACCTGATGAGCGTGATTTTTGGACTGTGGGAGGGAGCAGGACTACCAACAGAGAACCCACACATGCGTGAGGAGAACATGCAAACTCTGCACATGCACAGAAAGGCCTCAGGGATTCGAACCAGGACCCTTCCTTTATGAGACCACAACACTAACCACTGCATGACCACATGCATGAGCACCAAATCAAAGTCTTTAAACACAAATAGCATCCTTTAGCACACTTTAAATCACTGGCCTTCATAATGCATCGCATTTAGTCTCACTCATGATACGCCTGCACATACCTGAGTTTTAATGCAAAAGTTGTTGTTTTTTCCACAATGTTCACACAATGCAAACACTTCTGAGAACTTTAAGTATTTGTATGCATGTCCACTTGCTGCCTCTGGTATGTTTTGCGCTGATTTTAATGCAAGTGAGATAAACATCAAAGATGCTATGCTACAAGCAGCAACTACAGATTACATAGGCTGGAGCCTTACTTGCGTTCCTTGGCTCGCCTGTTTTGTTGGGAACCCTTCTGCATCATCAGCAGGTATCTCAGAGTCACAAGTGTTTCGCCCCTGAACCTGTACACCTCACCTGAGTGGGGCTGCGGAGGCTGGCTAGCCTTCGCATGCAAAAGGGTTCCAACTTTGGGCCCTTTTCAGCCACAACCATCTTGAGCTAGACTCTGCCATCGTGGCTATTCCCCTGGTGGTTTTCTTCAGCTGTTTAGGCTCCAATCCGACTCTCTGGAGGAAGTAGTGCACCGATTTTGTTGGGAACTCGCAGCAGCCAACCTCGATTGGAAAAATGGTTGCGTGCCACCCTTTTTGAGCTGCTTCATCAATCAGGTCTTGGTGCTTGGCTTTTTTAAGATGATGTGACGTGGCTAGCCTCTCCTCCAAGGGCACAGAACATTCTGCCGCTATGATAGTTTTAGTGCAAATGAGATGTGGAAAAGCGGACATTAAAAGGTGGGGTAGGCAGGATCTGAGGAGGTGCCAGTTTTTGGGAGAAATCTTGAATGTAAACACTACCCCTCCCAACCTGTTTTCCCCTCAGCTCCTCCTCTCCCCTCCCTCTCTGCTCCAGCAAGCCCCGCCCACAAACAGACGACAGGACCCGAGCTAAACAATTTAGCGCCGCTATGAAACACAGAAGATCCTGTTTGACAAGAAACACTTGTGTTTCAGACACTTGGCTTACCTTTTCCAGAAGAAAAGTTACAGGATCCGTAAGATCCCGAAGCGTCCCCCATCATTGTTGACCCGGCTTTTTAGCTCTTGTCCGGGTGGTCTACCTCCTTTTTAAGCGCCCGTTATTCTGCATGAGTCTTCGGTATTTACTTTGTTTTCTTGCTTGTGTTGACGGTCGTGGCTAAAGCAGCATTCAGACAATTTTCCATACCCTCTGGTTGGTTTCTACTGTCCGATATTGTAGCACGCTAACTTTGTTTGGGCTTGTGAACGACATGAGGGAGCAGCATCTGCCTCATAACCAATCAGGTTGGGGAAGGTGGAGAACGGCTTTCTTTACAGTCAGAAAGAGTGGGCCGCTCAAAAACTTTAAAATGTTGACTACACAGACAAAACAAAACACAGTGATATCATTATATTACCAAATGTCATCAACAACTAATAGCTATTGACTGATATTAAAAGCTTTTTTGTATTTACCACAAAAAAAGATGCTTCTTTAACAGAATCCTGCCTACCCCACCTTTAGGGAACACATGTTGAGTGATTCTTGAGTTTAACTTTGGACAAACCTGCTCTTGTTTTGTGATCCATGGCTTGAAGTTGCACAAAGCTAAACCTGAACAAACATGAATGTATGTATTTGTTCTACCATACTGCTCCGTGTTTCAGGGAGAGCAAATGTTCCTCGCTGCTCCTTCACTGCCTTTTCTTTCTACAGCGAGGTTGTGTGATGTGAGAGGAGCAGTCAGGTTCAGGTGGATCCTGCTGCGACTGCAGAACCTTTGACAGTGGAGGATGTGAAGGCTGACATTTGCACGGGCTGGGGGAGAAAGAGGGGGGATCAGCGGGTAAAGTGGGTGTCAAGCAGGGCGGAGGCTGCTGAGAGAATAGCAGGAGTGTTTTGTTCTACACCTGTTTGTTTGAAAAACAAGAGACGGGGCGAGGAGGGTGGAAAACGAAGCACAAAAACCACAGTCACATGCACCGTGACTGTGAACACCCAGACTAAACAGAGTCCTCTGATCCACACTATTAATACAGTTTCCTGTCAGTCTGGATGCACAGGTGAAGATTTGTGCTGTGGCTGTAAATCAGGTGGGGTTGGGATCTGTAAACAACTTAATAAAACTGAAATGTTCTTTCATTGTTTTCTCATATTGTGTCTTTTTTAACCTTTTACATAATTAGTTTTATTTGTAAAAATTTTCTGTATTTTAAATTGTGTTTTTTTAATTTTATTTTCTTCTTTTTCTTTGTAAAGCGTCTTTGAGCACCTGTAAAAACACACTAATAATAAAATGTATTATTATTATTATTATTATTATTATTATTATTAAAACCTGCTTTGATACATTCAAAATGAAGCTGAGCTGCACTGGATAACTGTTTCTCCAAGCTTGTATCCTTCTTTAAGCTAGGATGCATATTGTTTATTTCCACAGTTTTATCTTAATCTATTCCAATTTTTGGGTGTTGCTTTTCATTTTATTTCTTCCTGTTTTATTACACACTGTGACATACAGACTATCCATGTACACTATAAAACAGACCAAATGGATGTAAACAGTTACATGAGACTCCTGCGTTTGCTTATTAAACTTGTCAATTAATTTAACATTTTAAGTTCTATTTATAATTTTTTTATTTTGATGCTAAGTCTGAGCAGACACACACACTCCGTTTAGAACTCAGGTCTGTGCTGTGAGCACATGTGATGGCAAGTGAAGCTGTATCAGTTATAAAAATAACTCTTAAAATGGTGCAACATCCAGTTTGTTTGACACAAAACTTATTGTAGTTTGTTAGAGATGAATCATCAAGTCAAAGAAACAACAAGTGAGTGACAGTTTTAATGACTCAAGTGTTTAAAGCTCCTGTGGGGAACTTTAGCGCCCCCCCTGAGTACAAAACAGTCTTTGCTTATCTCATCCTGTTCATGCTTTGGTAGTGTCTCATTATTCTGGCTTCTGACAGATAAATTTATACCTTAGAAGACAAAAGTAAAAGAGTGCTACCTGGACTCAAAAAAGGAGTTTGTCTGAGGTGCTCTTTAGAATGGGATTCACAAAGTCATTGAAGCAAAAAGAGAAAAAACTTCAAGGCGCTCTCTTAATACTATTAAAATGCCTTTATTATGAAACAGCATGGTCATGTGGACCTTAAAAGCAAACTTCAATGCGTCTGACGAAGGCTTGATGCTGTTTGACTGACACCTACACCCTCCATCTAGTTTCAGGCATTAAAAATTACATTATAAAAATCGTCAATATTGTCGCTGATGGTCTTGTTTGGGTTTGCACATCATGGACAGGCATCATTATGAATTTCAGTCTAATCTATCAAAATAACAAAAAACTCCCTATAGGAGCTTTAATTTTCATCAAGTTGAAAATATAATATTTCTCCCCGTGCTTTAAATAAAAAAAAATTAACCTTGACATGCAAACCTTGGTGGGAACCTCGTGGCTTTTGAGAGAGGGGGCTGCACTCAGAGTGAACCAGTTATTATGTAATTGAGGTCTTTTAACATAACCTTGGGACAGCTAAACCGTATGCAGGAGAGTTACATAATGCGCCCATGTTGGCCTGGTTAAGATGCTTTTTGGTTTTAATGGGCAGGAGAGAGAGAAAGATGCTGCTTTTAATATTGAACTAATGTGCCCTCTGTAGTTCAGGTGAGTCCAGAGCTGCTGAGGTTTGTGAATAAAAAAGAGCGTTAACCCTGCATTTTACCGGAGGATCCATGTTGATTGTTGACTCAATCGCCAATGTCATTTCTGTTCTAAATCAATGGATCTGCTTCAGCATTCAAGGTGTCAGACTGTTTGACATTGTGGTTCAGACCCAATGGGAACAACCAAAGTCACAGAAGAACTGAGAAAAATACATCCTTTCCTTTAGAGCAGAAAACACAATATTTTGTTGAGAAAACCTGTTGTTCTGCTCCACTATTGGACGTTGCCTGATATTTAATTGGTTGCATGGACAAGTTCAACAGTTCACCGTTTCTGTGTCAGCGATCTAATATTGGACGGGTGTTGAAACACTGAATGAAGAGCACAACATGAAAGTAGGTTCATCACAATGGAAGCATCGATGAATTGAGCGGCTCTGTCCAAACGGCCCTGAGCTCTCAGGGTAATTGGAGGGGAGCTCCAGCGCAGACTCCTGATGTGGGAAACGGACAAGAGACAAGATCAGGCCGATTGTTCCAGGAATCACTTACATTAATAAGTACAGACTGTACTGTACAGCACTGGGAATGGGAATTATTGCATTTGGAGGACTCGACATCCCACTTCCACGCCATACTCTGTGGTTTTAAATGTGGTGGACTCTTCCACCAGAGCATACAGACAGAGTAGGAGCGTGTGGGGAAATGATGTAAGGAGAGAAAAGCCCAGGACCAGAGTAATTATTCCCTCTTTTATAATCTGAAAAAACTATTCCACTTTCAGGGCCAAAAATAAAAGTTCAAACAAGGCTCACATTTAGCAGCTGGTGCACCAATTTACTTGTTTGTGTTGCTGTAGAGAAAAAGATTTAATTGCATTCAAGGAATAATTAGTTTGGGTCTCAATTTTAACTTGGTAAACACTGATGCAAACCAATCATGCAGCTATAATCTGCATCAAAATTAAAGACTTGAAGATCAACTCTTTCCTTCGTAACTGAGATGGCATTTTATTTACAAGTTACACGAACTTAACAGATGTTTCTCTCACTTCCTGCTGAAGTTGTGTTTATTATCTGCAGTTATGACCAGGCTGTGATTAATACATGAAACCCTACAAGAACAATGATCTATTCTCAACACCAAAACTGAAGCCAGAGCTACCTGATAACATATGACATCAAATCAACCAAGGTTTCATGTTCCACTTTGGCAAATATTCATTTCTGTCTCAGGGTGGTCTTGAGAGTTGGGAAATGATAAAGTTCTGTGCTCTTAAGGTCCTTTCACACCGGGAGCATTTTTGTTGTGTAATTATTTCAGATGTCAATATTTTTTTTCGAAACCATATCCTGTCAATACAAGCGTTCACATCAGCGACGTTTTCCTGTCCTGCGATATTGGGACATTTATTTTTCGGATCATGGTCGATTTTTCTAAAGCTTCACATACTGTGTGTCTGCTTCTGGCCAATCAGATTGAGTGTTGTTGCGATGTCTGATTCACCGGTATATCCAACATGGCCGACCACCTGATTGTTTACGTGTCGGAGAACAGAGTGATTTTTGATAAAAAAACACAAACATTACAAAGATAACGACCTGAAGGACAACTTGTGGAGAGTCATAGCGTCGGATTTCTCATATGACGATGGTTTGTGTGCTTTAACAGTTTGCTAAACGTCTTTGTTTTAACTTTCATCTGTGCTAAGTAACTTTAGCTCGTAAGCTAACCTGTTCAGATACAACATACCATATGTATTTTCATTGTCTCAAACGCAATCGCGTTGCTGTCACAGCACCATTAGTTCTCGGTTGTTACCTTACGTTTATGGATTATAATTTAATGTGCTTATCTGGTACTGGCCCAGACTCAGTTCATGCGATCACGACAGACAGTCAACTCAACGCTAGAGTCTAATCAGAACTGAAAACAGTCAGTCTGCTGTTGTGTCAGTCTTCTCGCTTCCACCCGAGATACGTCTTTTTTCCCCCGGAAAGTTGCAAAACCGCATCAGGCTTTATGTGTATAGTCAGCCGTGTCAAAATTCGCCACAGAATATTTCGTAATTTTGCGTTCTATATTCGTGTCAGCCCCGGTGTGTAAGGACCTTTAGTGTGGTGGTACGCTCTGGTATGCAGTACTGCCACTTTTGGAACTTTTTACCAGTTGCTGATAATTTACCTGTTATCTCTATATTAAAATTTCTTTTAGCGGTTCATAAATTACATTTGGGTCACTCTTGTATCTTTTATGTGTGTTACTCACTTGTCTGTTTCTGTTTCAAGAGTCACCAAATGTTGCTTCTAGTTTGGAGGTGAAACAAATTAAGAAGAGTTGTTCTACATATTCAACAAGTTCACTGATGTAATCTGAAAGCACTGCTAAAATTATCCTTCATAAACAGCCCTGGTTGATCATTGATTATGCCACAGCAGCTGTAGTTTTTCCTGTAAAATGACATAATATAACAGGCATTTTACAATCCTTTGATAATGATGCCACATCTGAGTTCGACTGTGCTATAATCGATGGAAATGTGCCCTGCTGACAAAACATTACAGCACATTACATTACTGCACTGCCCCAGTTTGATTATGGAGAAGGTCCCATTGTGGTGCGTCACATCTTTGTCACTCCCTTTGTGTCCTACATGAATTTTCACCACCAAATGTCAAACACAGGGAAAAAAAGAAACCAATGTGAGTGAAAAAGATCATCAGAACTATGTAAAGTAGAACCACTTCTCTGCCTTCTCCAAGTGGAATATGTCACACCAACAAAAAGTTGAATTCTGATTATTTTAAATCCACTTTTCAAAAGTTAAATCTCAGCAGTACTTGTTCTTTCAGTCGAAGTTTCCGGTTCAGATTGGTCTCTTAGTGAATGCAATGATGGATAGACTGAAACAGAGGCAGTCAAAGTGATTGTTTCAGGATTTTGGAGGGTCTTTAAAAGACAAAAACCCCTCTGGGTGAAACCAAACGGGTGGCATGGGAGCGATGATGGCCAGAGAATTTTATTACAATGCAGCCGATCTAATGCTATTCAACCCGAACATCCCCGAGAGACTGTGGGTGATTAACTGAGAGAAGTGAAGAAAAGCAGCAAGGAGTGAGAGGTGTAAACCAGACGAGGGGGAGGCGAAACAGATGTAGATATAAATAAAAACAAGCAGCAGCAGTAAAAGCGAAGAAAGGAGTGAGGGAAGGAGGGAGGGAGAAGACGAGCGCAGAGCCAGAAGAAAAAGGAGAGCCAGTGGAGACCCCAGAGAGGAGGGGAGAGGAGCTGCAGCAGTCTGACGCCTTGTTCAGTGTGATTAACTCCAGAGAAAGACGCCTGCTGGAGGACTCACCAAAATAGCTGCTCCCCATTAAATTCAACTACTGCGACTGCCACTCACCTGGCTGCTGCTTGGTAATGCAAATGTTCAGGACAAGACGCTACATCATAGAGTCTATAGGAGGAGGCACAGTGCACTGTCAGGAGGAATTTGTCCTTGTTGCAGTAAGATGATGAGTGCAAAAGTGAACGTGCAGTTTTCTTTGAGTTCAAAGAGTTTGTGTGGAGAGTGTTTTAATTCCCTCCTAAACTGTTTGGAGGGACACTCAGCATCGAAGAGAAAGAGTCAGTCCTTCTAAATGAGGCCAGTGAAGACAAAATAATTTATTAGAAAAACATAAATTTGTTAATGAACACTCGAGTTTCAAGAAGCAATACTCGTTGGTAACATCAACTTGCATCCAGCCAAAATTCATAGCTTATAGTGAGTTTTTTTAAAACTTACGTCCATCTTTCAGTTTCCTCTTTTTCATTTAACATTCACTGTTCTCTCGTAGCAGCTATTTTCTCTGACATAAAGCTGGAGGTGGGGAGTTTTAAAGGTTGCTATAATGTTCTGCGGATATGTTTTAGGCCACAAGATGTATAAACAAAATCTTTACCATCTAGTCACTTGCTCATGGATCGGTGAAAATACAAGTTCTTACACCAGCTAACTGCAGGCATCCAGTAAGTAGCAGGAATGTTTTTTCTTAATAAATGTGTTCTCTGTAATTATTCTACTAGTCTTTGATGACACAGAACAGTGTGTGATTTTGACCTCCTCATGCATTTGAACTCCTGAACCCAGAAATCCCTCTCATTGACCTCCTTACAGCCACTTGATGGTATCTTATCATTGGCTGCTTCTCATTGGCTGAAAATCATGAGCACTTGCTTGTCCTCTATCACACCAGTCCCTCTGTTTTCATGAAGTTAATCTGGAGCATTGTAATTATTGGGCTCTCTAGATAAACTCTTGAGACACTGCTGTGATGATGGTTCATGATAGTCTGACTGAAACCAGCTCGACAGTAAGGTCCTTTACGTTCATACATGTGAGGTAGTTGGGGTGAGATTAGTGCCAGACATGTTTAGATTTACTGTTACAGTAAGAGTCAAACCCCTAGTGGACATCCGAAAAGCTGTAGCTTTTGCACTCATGCTTTATGATATGCGATGATGTGGTTGATGTGATATGGTATATGGTATAGTATGGTATGGTATGGTATGGTATGGTATGGTGTGGTATGGTATATGGTATATGTATGGTATGGTATACAGTACATGGTATAAATATGGTATATGGTATATGGTATGGTATGGTATGGTATGGTACAGTATGGTATATGGTACGGTATGGTAAATGGTATATGGTATATGGTATGGTATGTTATGGTGTATGGTATATGGTATGGTATGGTATGGTTTATGGTATAGGGTACGGTATGGTAAATGGTATATGTATATGGTATGGTATGGTATGGTATATGGTATATGGTATATGGTATGGTATGGTTATGGTATAGGGTACGGTATGGTAAATGGTATATGGTTTCTGATATGGTATGGTTTATTTATATGGTAAATGGTATATGGTATATGGTATATGGTATCCACACATAAACAGAACGCATCATTACCTCCGCCAAGGAAGTTATGTTTTCGGTATGGTTGGTTTGTTTGTTTGTCTGTTAGCAACTTTACGGAGAAAGTTACAGACGGATTGACCTGAAATTTTCACTAGAGGTGTGTCTCAGCCCCAGGAGGATCCCATAAAATTTTAGTGGTGATCCGGATTGCCTTCTGGCTTCAAGTCTGGCTTTGAGTTTTTAGTAAAAAATTACACAAAAGGATCTCAATGAGTTTTATGAGGTGTCAAAGGTTGATCCTGATCCAGACAAAATTACAGATACTGTGATCCAGAACACACAAATATAAGGGTGTCGTTGGAATTTTCAATGCTGAAAGATAACCAATGAAGATACAAATATTGCATAATAAATCATGCATTTATGTATCTAATATGAGCTTTGTTGTTTTAGGAACATTATGAACAGTGAACATACCAGTTTAAACACAAATAAAAGTTAATAAAAGACACGTAACAGTAAAAGTTTTGGTGTGAATCACAATATAAGGGGGGGACATGAGCTGCTTGGCGGAGGTCTGCGCTCTCCGAGTGTTTTCTAGTTTTTAAAGGGATTAGTTCACTGCAAAACTCAACCACTGTTTAAAGGTAAGTAGCCTAAAGCTTTTGAAAGCAGGTCAAGGTCAGAGGTGACTAATCTGTTTACTAACCTGTTTCAGTTGATGTTCTAGCTGCTCATACTCAAACATACACCAAATTACTACAGGGCTTTTGAGTTGAATTCATTTTACTCAGAGGTGTTGTCAACCATGCTGCGATTGGTGTGTGCTGAGTTACAGTTGTTATTCATAATGTTGTCATGGACATGTATGAAATGATATAAATTTGATGTAAATTTGACCCATGACCTCATTTCCTAATTAATAATGACTGTATTTTGACCTTTAAATCATATTATCTCCTTTACTTGTATTTTTGTGTTTATCTGCCTCCAGGCAGCAGATGGAAATTAGCCAGTAATCTGAGATAATAAATCTCTTCTCTGACAGTTTATTTTGCACAGTTTATGTTTCTGAGTTTCAGACACAATCAGCACATCCTGAAGGTTTCTAAGTTCTTGCTTTGTAACATTTTTCCCTCCTCATCACAATTTGCCTTGTCACGGATTTCAAAGTTTTGCACTCATTTACTGAGCCCCCCGTCTTAAAAAGTTTGTCTCGTTTGCCTTTTTTTGAGACTCATTCAGTCTCTCTTGCAACTTTGTGATACTTCAATTTTAGGTTTATTTTAGAACTGTCCTCCTGACCCTCGCTTT